AATTCAAGTTTCTACATTGATTTCAAGCACAGAAGCTATAAAGATCATTTTTATTCGCTTCTATCACGAAAGACACATATTGAATAAGCTTGTTTTACTCAAAAATTTCAACATATTGAATCGTATAGAAGAATGTACCACTCTTCCTGTTGATTTTGATAATTTTTAGTCAGTTTTATTTCAAAGAAAAGATTTCAATATACATATTCTTGTAGAGGTCTACAAACTCTATTCCATCACGTGAAAACAATGCAGAAGAAAATTCTGCTCAAATTTCGAATTGTTAATGTTTTACATCGGCAAAAATTCAATTTGAAATAATTTTGCTCAATAAAAGTTTACGGCAACCTTTCTTACAAATGAACTTTGATTGATGAGTGTATTTTAAGGACAGTTATTTCTTCGACTTATCAACACTTTTGACAGTAATTATTCCCATCAACATTTATGCTATATTTACCTTAAAATGGATATATCTGTGCATGATTGATAGCAGGTATTCTTTGTCAGAAATCAGCACAACTATGGTAATCAAATCAAAAAATATATAAATAACAGGATTATCTTGACACACTTGCTTCGCTGAAATTACTATACATTCTGTCACATCCTTTGCAAAACATGTAAGTTTAAAAGAATTGTTTATTAAAATCACAGCAGAGCATTTGCGTATGTCATGGTCAAAACTCATTATATAAATCACTGCCATTAGAAGTAGTACTATGCCGAACAAATAATAATATTTTTGAAGAAAATAGCGCTGTGATCTAAAATAGCATGAAAAATAAATTTTATATATTAAACATAAAGCACGTCGAACAAGAACTTTATTAGAATTATATTTATCGCGACAAAAAAAACACTAAACGATATGATAGAAGTTTTGTCATAGTTTAGAGATGTGAAAGTTCATGCAGAGAATGAATCGAGTAAAAATTATTTATGAAAAAAGCAATCCCAAGAATTTAGCTTTCATGTAAATATGAATATGTTGCTATCGTTTCTCATCGATTCTGTTGTATTTTCTTAATATGTCAATCAAAAGCTTATGCGAAATAGCTTCCAATCTAATTCCATTATGTCCGTTCATGGTTTCAGCTGCTATCATAGCATTTACAATAGCTTCTTCAGCACATTAAATCGTTGCTTCAAATAAACGACTCATTTGATTATTGAGCAAAAATTCTATAGCTCCGGTTGCCGAACTTGGATTCGAAACATTAGCCGTCGAAAACGCTAAGAAAATATCACCAGATAGATTAGCACCTATACTGCATACTTTTCCTATTCCAAGTGACACTCTAGTTGCTAAATGTTTCAATTGATGTGGTAAAAGTGGTGCATCCGTAGCTACAATAACAATAATCGATCCAACATCTTCATCTGGAATACTTGCATTGGTTTTTTCGATTTTCAATAATTCTTCGCCAACAGGAATACCAGCAATAATTAATTGTTTCTTGCATCCAAAATTGGATTGTACTAAAACTGCAATCGTATAATTTAAACCTTCAATTTTTCGTGAACTTGTTCCTGTTCCAGCTTTAAAACCAAATGAAATCATACCTGTTTCATTCCCTACATTTCCTTCTTGAATTAATGAGTCAGATCCTTTAGCATTGTTCAATGCTTCAAATACATGTTCAATGCTTCAAATACATGTTCTTCTTTTACATGAAAGCCATTAATATCATTTAAGTACCCATCATATGTTTCAGCTACAATAGGTAAACTAAAATCAAGCATATTGACCATTGTATTAGAATTATTCTTTTTTAAAGCTCATTTTATCAGAGAATCTCGGCAAATGCCAACACTATTTGTATTTGTAATTAAAATTGGTGCTGTAAGAAAACCAGACTATTAAATAATGTACACCAGTCATTGCACCATCTCCATTTAAACTAAACCAATTAGCAAAACAAGGCATTCGACGAAAAACATTTTTTAATCCGCGTGGAAATATTGCTGTTACACTTGTTCGAATAGAATCACATTCAATTATGGTACTAAAACCAACTTCAACACCTTCGACATCAGTAATAGAATTAGATTTGTCAGTAACATCAGTAAATGGAATGCCAAGATCTCGACTACGAGATTTCTTATAACATTTTACATAAGAAATTCTATGCAAAATACAGAATAATAATAGAAAGTGTGCTTTGCGCATATCTTCACTTTTTGTATTTAGATTATTCGTTCGCCCTCGATTATGTATGCAGGAATGGTTTAGCATTTGAATTACTCACTTATAAACTTTATTTTGCGACTGATCGATTTATTTTCTTATTGACAACAAAAACAAAACGAATGAGTACGTGGGTGTATAAATCAATTGAAAACAGATCAACATGTGCCTTGAGAAAGGGCAAGTTCAATCTACTAATCTGAAGTTTTGCTTTTTGGCAATCGACTTTTATGGAAATTATTGAAACTGCAATAATATGCTTAATAAAATACTACTGAAACCAATACAGAACTCAATTCATCGACATGTTTACCTTATTTATTTAAATATAAATAGTTATCAAGGTTATGTATTTTAAGCCAAGAACAAGGATAACTGAAAATTGACAAAAAAGGAAGAAGTCATAGAAATTAAGTCAAATGAATCAGAAAAGGTACAAAATAAAAACTAAAATGTGAGAATTAAATGGAAAAATTGTAAAAGCATAACAATAGTGCCAGTGATAGTTTAATACCGCATAGTCAGCTTTAGAAAAATTTCTTTTTTATATACACAGAAGGTATAAACAATGCTCTATTTTTCTGTCATGCTTGAGCATATTTCAAGTAATATTATAATAATAAAATTTCGGTACGATCTGTTTTTGTATAAAATGTGACAGTTAGGGTGTGAGTGTGGTGTGAATATGGGTTTCTGTATGAATATAATACACTTTCACTCACTGCCACAGTCCTAGCCACACCTACAGCGACATCCACACCCTCAAGTAAGCAGGATGAGTTATATGTTCATGCTTGTATTCGATTTACTCTTTGTTTTCATTGATGTTTGTGTATATCGATGACAGTAAAGGATCGAAAAAAAGAGTAATGAAGATGAAATTCAGATCAAATACACTGATCATTATATTTCTTTATTTGAAACTGATTGATCAAACTCATTTTTGTTACTCCCACCGACCAATATCATAAAATAGTTTGCATTGGTAAAGGAAAAGAAGAAAAGTATTGAGCACAAAATACTCTAGATAATTCGTGTGCTTCTGATTGTCTGAGGAAAAAAAATTAAGTTGTCAAAGTGTCATGATCAAAATTAAAATAAAAAGTATCAAGAGGATGGGCAATGTGAAACTTGTCCGTTAAACTAAATGCTTTTTGTATCTTGTCCGAAAGACTGAAGCTGCGAAGTGTGTTTCTTTGAGACAAGAGAGTAGCGAAACGACTTACTGAACATTTTCTCTAGGAAATGTAATGAAACATGATCGAAAGAGTAAATATATTTTGTATCGCTTTTAAAATCTAACTCCACAGGACCCGTTTTATTCGGACAGGAACGCAGAGAAATGTATTTTCTTTAAAAGAAACGCAGTGCAATGCATTCTCATATAGTAGAAACACGTTTTACAATACATTTTCTCTAATTTTTTTAATGTTATAGGTGTGTATGCACTATACGATTATTTGTTCACTTCTATTGACAACTAACAACATCTCACATCCTTCGACAAACATTCACATATATATAACAAATAGCAAAACTGAAGAAGAAAAAAAGTCCTTCAATTGCTTCTACTCTCTGGAAGACTTGTTTTCAACATTTACAGTGAGAATCACAAGCAACAAAATGCGTCGTAGAAATGAGTTGGGCGATTTTTTTCTTTTAATGTTACAAATGTATTCGAAAGCACGATTAAATCGAAACGAAAGAAAAGAATCACAATTGTTTCTTCATTTTTTTACACTTTCATGTTTATGAAGCCACTTTCTTTTCTTCATGTGAATAACAGTTTCTTCTGTCTCTCATTTTTCAAACGTTGTCTTGATGTATCATCAGAACTTTGTCCTTCTTGAGTGTATACATACGACAAAACTAGCGTGGCACTCTTTTTCAATGAGATTAACTATTCATATCAATATCTGTTTCATTGAACAATCGCTGCCAGATTCATCTATGTCGAATCAATTTTCGTAGATAGATAAACATAAACATATCCTCAGATGTTAATTTTATCAACATGTTCTATTCCTCATACTTTTTTTTTACATTTCGGATAGACATTTACTGCACGTTAACTGGTTAAAATTCCTTACAATATCGATAGAAAAAAGAAATGCATGCAAATGTTGGTCTTCTTAGTATAAATCATGACAATAATTATTACGATATTACTCATTCGTTTAAGGTCGATTCATTTACGTATCACGTATTAGGACTTCGCAAGGATCGCCCAACATATGGAAACACTTATTACATTTTTAATTGTTCAGATTGTACACAAGGATCTCTACCTGTTCTCCGTACTTCTGGACATTTTGAGCACCGATTTACAAGTGAACACTATAAAATGCTAAAACGTCATCGTTCAGTAGCAAGACAACGTCATACAGCTAGATCTCTTACAGATCGTCCTCGTACGAGTTCAGCAACAGGAATGAAAGTCGAAAATGAGACGATATCTATCGAACAGTCAATAGCTAAATTGCTACAAACTGAACGTCAAACATTAGTCACGTCTCTACGTAAAGCAATCAAAGCAGAAAATCAAACACTAATTCAATCTATTAAAGGTTCATCGAAGAAAGTCGAAGATGAGAAAAATAATGTCGAACAGCAACTGAATGAAATCCTTAAAAGCGATCGTCAGTCAATGGTCGATTCGTTTCGTCTAGAGTTGGAGGCAAAGAACACAACATTAATTGAATCAATCAGAACAGAAGAACAAATCTTAATACAAGAATCAACAAAATCTATGGTTAATAAAGAGGAAATAGTTCGTCTGTTCGAAGAACAAAAACGTTCACTTGAAAGTATATATGATAAGCAAGTAACAACTATTGATTCTTCTGTCGATCGTTTTATACAAAATATGACACAGGTAACAAACACTCAACATGAATCGTCGACGTCACTCAATCAATTTCAACTTACATTGACTCAAACAATCCAGAAAGAAGTACAACAGACTATATCGGAATCTATTGAAAAATTTGAGTCGATGACTCGTGAAATAACTCAATTAAAACATAGTCTTGAAAAAACGATTGAGAAACGTTCTACTACCACACAGAGAGATGATACTGAATTATTAGATCGTTTATTCGTTGAACAGAAAAAGTTTCTTATGAATACCATTGAACAACTAGAGAAGCTTTGGAGTGAACGCTTAAAACTTATCTTGCATGAGGCACTTGTTGAACAAAAGTCATCATCATTCGCCCCTCCCACGGACAACGCCTCTCTCAACACTAACATGTCCAAAACACAACAGGACCAAACCATTGATCATTCGTTCAACATCAATCAAACTTCATCATATTCACCAGACCAACATTTGTTCAAAGTTTCGATTAAATCACCGGAGCCTGTTTGTTTATATGCTAAATTATTCATTGGCGGTAATGAATATCCAAGGAAATCTCATACACTCTGTCAGCAAGATCCGCTTCACTCAGATGAAGTCACTTGTTATGTAGCTCCACCCGCTGTAGATGGACCCTATAATGTCATTATCTATGCCAAGACCAAAATGGAAACGAAATATCGAGCTGCTATTTCCATACGAATACCTGGAGCAAATATAACTCAATCTGTTTTGTTTCCATATACATTTCCATCATTTGAAATGCATCGGTGCACTTTGATTCAACCTCTACAAAGCTTTTTGCGACATAATGAGCACGTATTGATACAAATGGTTATACCTTATGCACATTCGGTCAAAATACATAATGGCAATGACGTTGTTATCCTTGATGATGATGACTACATCGATGGAAAATTGAAAAAACAAATACAAGTTCATGGTGATGTATATGTTTACGGTCAATGGAACAATGAAGCTGATTCACCTATTTGTTTCTTTTATGTCATCTAATTTAAAATTAATCTATATGCACTTAAACATTTCAACTAATAGAATTTTGAGTTTTCTTTTGTCAAAACCTTTTCTACACATCATCGATTGAATTGAATAAACACAAGATAACATACATGTACTTTACGAGAAGAACCACAGCTCAATGATATTTAGTACATGATTTTTTTTGAAAGTCTTTCGTATAATTTCAGATTTTTGAGTTGTCAAAGTCATTTTTCGCACAATGATAAGGAAGTCACAGATGAAAATATTTTTGTTACGAAGTTATCTCTGTGAATAATAACACGAATACCACTGTAGTAGTAGATAGATATTGAAAAAATAATTGTCTAAGATCACAGTTTCTCATATTTGTATCAAGATAATAAATCTCTAACGTGCCGCTTATTGTTAGGATTGCAGCTGCCATGAATGATTGCCTAAGAAGCACTTCACGATGATTCATATTATGCATGCATAATAGGAAGGTCCCAACCATCTAGAAATGCAGTTCGAGTACTTTCAGTTTATTTTCTATGCGAAATAAATGTCTTCTTTTTGCGAAGACCTCATTGGTAGATCGAATAACATGACCTGCTCAGGACTAATACTGTTTTTTTTTTAAGTACACGCCTTAATTTCACAAATCTGAAGAGTCAGAAAAACATGCTAATAGTTTTCTTTTTTCATCGCTAGATAATGTTCACGTCAAACTAGGTTCTCTATAACAATCAACAAATTTAAACCATCATCTCGAATTACGAGAAGTTTTCTTATATAGATGTTTGTTATTTTCAATTATGTGTTGACCACGGCTCTTCCTTTCATTGAATTAGCGCATTTTCGTCGATTTCAATATCGTCGAATTAATTTATAACTGAAAACGAATTGACATCAACGATAATCGGCTCTATACTTAAGGCCCCTCATCAAAAATAGTTACTTTTCGTCACAATAGTCGAAATTAAGATAAATACATTGGAATAATGCCCGTCATTAGATCTTTCATAAACGACAAAAACTTTGACTTGGTACCTTGTTTTTTCCAAAAATTTTTGAAGATTTATGTTGAACTCTATTCGAAAAATAAGCTGTTTTCAGGAAAAACAGAAAATCTTTTTTCGTTTTTTTCCCGCTTATAGTTTCTTGAGCGCGCAAACCAAATTTCTTTGCCGATACTCATTCAATGTATTTATTTTTTTTTGTTTGAAAGAGCGCGTCAAGACGCAGTTCAGTATAGAGCGCTTTTATTTAACTAAAGGTTTTTTATTATATATGTAGGTTGGGCCATAAATAAATCGGTGGTAAGAAATTAAAATATGTTCACTTCTATTCAATTAAATGGACTGACTTTTTGACTAGTGATAGAACTTTAGTCAAATTTTGATCTCATGCGGATAATGTAAGTAAATATTGCTATTAAATATTATAATTAACCTTTCGAAAAATTTTTATCTGTTGTCAAGTAAGAAAAATATATCTGAAGCATTTTGTAGATAATTTTCAATTGTCATCTGAGAGAATGACAAGAGAAAAACAAAATAACTTTTAGAAATGATATAACAATGAAGTACAGGGAGAAAATTTTCTGAATCAGTTAGAGTTACCATATTTCGAAGTTTCATGTGTGGAGCATTAGGTATTACTAACAACTTGCTAATTCGTTTTTGAAGGACTTCAACTGTGTGTTTTAGTTGTCGAACACGAATTTCAGCATTTAAACTAACTAGTTCAGAAAATTTCCTCTGTGTACTTCAATCTTATATCATTTCTAAAGGTTATTTTGTTTTCCGCTTGTCATTCTCTCAGATGATAATTGAAAATTATCTACAAAATGCTTCAGATATATTTTTCGAGAGGTCAATTATAATATTTACTTACATTATCTGCATAAAATAAAATTTAGAGTAAAGTTCTACCATTTAATCAGAAAATCAGACCATGCAATTGAACTGAAGTGGTGATATTTAAACTTCTCTGTCGCCGAATTACTTATGGCCCACTCTGTATATGAAATTGAAAATTCATTATAATCCCTACTCTTTAATATTGATAAATTTCATTTTTTGACGTAACTGAATTCGGTATAAAACATGTTATTGATGCTGTTTGAAATCACAGCCTTACACTGTGGAACAAATACATTTTTATTCACTCAGTACTCATTTCTTTTTTGTTATCGATTATATCCAATAACTTGTCTAATATTTCCGTTGCCAAATTTTACAATTAGACTTGCTTATTATTGACTAAACAACTTTAGATTTTTGACTACTAAATCAACTTTAGTATTTGAGTAATGTGCTATTTATAGATTTTATAAAGATAGCATAACAAAACTAATGCTTTCTTTTTTCAATAGATATAATGTCTATTTCATAATTTCAATTTCGTACGACGAAAATAATGATGTTTTATATTACATCGAATTATATTTTCTGTTCACATGTGAATCTAAATCAGTATTAACAAAAAAAAAAGAATACTAAATAAATCCATTGTTGTATAAGACGATTTTTTTTTGGTCAAAAATTTTTAATTTTTAATGTTTTCTTCAATGTCATTATTTTAAAATCTGAAACAAAAATTGAAAGATTACATTTCTGTTTTTTTGTATATCATACAAGAGAAAAATATATATATGAATAAAAATATATAAATTATTTTTCTTCAGTTGATGATGTAGAAAATTCTCGTTCTGATGATGTAGATTCAATATCTTTAAGAGCATTTAATCGTTGCCATTCACGATAAGCACGATAATGTCGTGTTCTCGGATCAATAGTATATTGTGCATCAGAAAAACGCATAGTACTATTAATAAGAAATAAATTCTAGTAAATAATTTTTAGATAAATCTTACCGCCATTGTAATGCATGAATAAACATACCCAATGCAATAACAATTACTATAACCGATATTGAAGTAAAATAAGTATTTGGTAAACTATGTGCTGGAGGATAATAATTTGAATAAGTGTCTGAACGTTGTCTATCATGTTCCATTTTTCGACGAAGCATATCATAGAATGCTTTATCATAATGTGGTGTATTCCTTTGAAGAATAAAAAAAATTTAATTCAAATATAAAAAATATGATTTCATATTATAGAAAGTCGCACCTGCTTACCAAGTCGATTCAGTTGTATTCGTTCGACGTTGATTTGTACTTCGGCTAGTATAATTTATATTTGACCAATCTGATGATGATTGATGAGAATATGATTGATATGGAGAACGAGATATGAAATTAAGAGCTAGAAACAATCGCAGATTTAAGATGAAGACAACTTTAAGATAGTGAAAATTTTTCTTTTAGTATGTACGCTTCTAATAATATACAATCGTGATTATCAGTTTATCATAAAATTAATAGTCTTAATAAGAATATTTTAATTCTTACATTGATCATAAGTAGTTCGTGTCGATTCTTTACTCAGTATACTAAAAGCTTCATTGATTTTAACGAATTTTTCATGAAGTGATTTATCAGCTGCATTTAAATCAGGATGATACTGAAAAATCAAAAGAAAAAAGATTAAAATTATATTTTATTTTTAGTTAACTTCTTTTGATAATTTATAAAACGCTTTTTTTATTTCTTTTTGTGTTGCTGTTCGTTCAACACCAAGTAAATCATAATAATTTCGTGAGTTAAAATTTGCTGTTTTATAATATCGACATGGTGTTAATACAATTGATCTGTATTTAGAAACAAATAAGAACAAAAACAAAACGCCACATTCTTTTTCAATTACCGATGTGGTTGAATCGTAGATGTAATGATGTTTCCATATGGATGAAAACGATCACTAAGACCTTTATTTGTCCACAAATATTTTTGAGAAGTTCTGAACATGCATAGAAAAATAAAAAATTTATAGTTGTACTTAAGATGATATAATCAGTAAAAAAAGAAACAGCTGATTTATAAACCAATGATATAAATGTTGAACATTTTTTTTTCAAAATAACAAAAAATATATTTATTATATTTATTCCATTTGTATACATATCTTTTTCGAATCAAATACAAATTTATCTGTTAATGAACAAAAAAAAAATCAAATATCGCTACAATCAATGTAATTGATTTAATTGATTAATATCTTAATAAAAGAATAAATAAAAAAAAAATCTAGGGAAAAAAATCAATATAGGATTAAGATTTTATTTCTTTATTGCTTCATTTTTTTTTCTATATGAATAAAGTATGGATAGATATATCTATGTCATTTTCTCTAAACAGAACGAAACAAGAAACAATATTTTTAGTCTGATCAATATGATCCCTGGCCATATTTGATTGAGAATTAGAAATTGAAACAAATGAATTTTTTTTCTATTCTTATTTATCAATTGATGATAATATTATTTGTATTTTTGTTTTTGTGTTTAGTTATGAAGCATATTCTTGTCTTTCTTGAATTTATTTCAGTTAAGTTTATATTGAATTGAACGAACAGAGGGGAAAAAAATTCTCAGCAGGTGAGACAATCAAACATTTGTTGATGGTCGTCATCGACGAGAAGAAAATGAATCAAGCAGATAGCCGGTCGGGCACTCTGCTTTTTCTCCTATTTTTCTCTTCCGCTATTGTGTGCTCGATGCGTTGTTCGTTCTCTAACATATACTTAATTTAGTGTTTTTTTTTTGCAATCCATGACGTTGTCGTTATTGAGAGGAGGAGATGCGTAAAAAAAATGCTGTTATTAATGAGTAGGTGTATTTACAATGTAGGTTTTATGTCATTTTTTTGTTATGAAAATGACAATCATTAGTATAATATTTTTTTTAGATTCGTTTTATTCTTATTTCAAAAAAAAAAAATAATAATTATGAGCTATCTTGAGTTTACCGATGACATCATTACAATAGACCAATCTAATGGTACTACTCCAACTACTGTGGAACCATTAGTAATACCCTCAAGTACATCTGCAGTTATTCATCAACAACAACAACAAACAAAGGATTTATCAGATTGGAGAAATATTCAACTTGGAGCAACATCAACACTTTTCGATCCATTTTGGTTACCACAAACAACAGTTACGCCATTATCTAATTCTTGGACTACGTCTAATAATACAGTTTATCCATCATCTTATAATCAATTATCATCTTTGTCTCAGCATCGTTATCAATCAACGAATTCAAATAATAATCAATCTTGGAAAATGCCAACATTTCCTGTTGGAAAAACACAATCTTTTGTTAATTTTAATCATCCGAATATGATGACTAATGTTACTGATACAACAACGGATACAGTAGTAAATCCATCAACTCTTATCAGGTTTGATAAATGTTAATTTTTTAAGTTTATATATTAATAGAAAATAAAATGTTATGATTAGGAAATAACTTTTTGTTAAATTCAATTTTTCATTGAAACAAAAAACTGTTTTCTCAGAAGAGGAAAAGAAATTTAAGTATTATCGATCTGAAATCAGATATGATCTTGAGAAATGTATAAAGTTAAAATCTATGTAGAATCAAAAATGACATTTTTTCTATTGACTAAAACTAAATATTTATTTTTACAGAAATTTTATTCCTATTCAACCAAATCCATATTCTTATTCAACACCTCCTACAATATCATCAACGTCTAGAAATCGACCTATGACTTCTCATGAAACTGAACTTATTCTTGTACCTGATCTTGATATTGATGAAATTCTTGGTGAAGTACAATCTGTTATACCAGATATTGATCTTGATGTTGCACGTCAAACTATAACATCAATGAATTCAATACCATCAATAAATGATATTGTAACATATTTTCTTGATAATGGTTATACAAAACAAGTAAAAAAAAATTTTTCAAATAATTCTGAACAACAATCATCATTAAAACGTTCAATATCAGATATAATTGATGATATACCAAAATTTTTATCATCTTATTCTGATCCAATTAATTATTTTTTTGATACAAAACGTAAACAATCTGAATCATATATTAATCATGCAAAAGCATTTCTTTTACGTGCATTTCCAACAATGGATAAAACAATATTAGAACAAGCTTTAGAAGAAGAAAATTGGCATTTTTTACCAACTATAAGAAAATTAGAAACACGAGCTGGTATTCGTACTAATGCATTTTTACAAAGAATGACAATTAAACGATCATTAGATATGATTGGTAAGATAATGTTTGAATATAATGTAATATGAATTTATTTGATTAGATTTATCTATTGATGGTGTTGGTCGAAAACCATCTATGGCATGGATAATTAAAAATAATAAATTTGCTTATTCAATTCCACATATACCTTGTGAAGAATTTTATGATGAACTTCGTTTTGCTAAAAATGAAGTTAAAATTCGACGTAAATTAATATTAATTTATTTTTGAAAATTCTAATAAAAATATAATAAAATTTATATTTTCTAGGATATCTTGGAAAAGTTTCTAAAGAACATGAAAAACGTGTTAAAAAAGCTAAAAGAGGAAATGAAACACTTGAATGTGAAATATGTTGTCAAGAAGATTTATTAATTGATGATATGGTTGAATGTACAGTTGGACATCTTTATTGTCGGTTAGTTTTGAAAATATTTTTAGTTTTGAAAAATTATTGTTTTCTTTGTTTTATTATTTATTTAGAAATTGCGTTCGAACACATATTGATCTTTGTTTTAAAGAAGGAAAATGTCGTTTTGCTTGTGTAGAAAATTCATGTCCTGGTGAATATACGATGAGACTTGTTAGTGAACTTTTACCACCAAAAGATTTAAAGAGATTAAATAGACGAATACAAGAAGAAAATATTCGACAAGGTAAATAACAGTTGAAAAGAATGATGAAGTGTTGTTTTTTTTTTTCTTTCATTGAATATTTTATATTTCGTTTTGAATTATTTAACTTAAGATTGAAAAAAATAATAATAATGAATAGGAAAATTCATCTTTTGATAGGTATTACTTTTACAATAGCAAAAGTAAATTTTACTAACATATTGTAAATGGTTTCATGATTACTCATAATTTATTTATCTTTCATTAATAAACTAAATTAGAAGGAGGAAACCTATTAAACATATGACTATTTATTATGATCGACATTTTATTTTAAACATTAAAAATGAACTATAATAGAAACTTTTCTTAGATAGACATCAGTTACTCGTATTAATATAAAAGTATTAGCGTAATTCTCGCTAGATTAAAATGTGATATAGGACGATACTATTGACATTCTTTAAATATAAATTTCAGTCTATGAATTCCTTCCTATGTTACTAGAGAAAAGTTTATCAACGACGTTTTATTTTTTCTAGAAAAGTGAACACGATAATTTTCAGGTCTCAGAAGTTAATTTTTAAAACTACTGTTTTAAGGAAAATAAGATGAACGATTGCCGTGTTTTCTATGACTTTTTCTTAAAAAGTTACAATTAGACATCGACGTGACTGTCGTGACTCACGATCACGACCGTGACCGAAAATTATCGTTTATGCTGGTGTCTAGTTACAACTATCACAAAAAAAAGGCGCTTTTTAGAGGTTTTTTTCGTTAATTTCATTTTTTGTGATATCTTTAACTTTGTAAGAGAAAGTTGTAACAAATTCGACGACGCCTCCTTTTGTACTCTTTAAAATGGGATTGTTAGAAAAAAGCTTCTGGAACATGAAAAATACCGTATTCTATTTTTTTTAGAAACTTTACCATCATAGTCCATCTGTGAAGTTTTGTTGTAGAATTAATTAGATAGAAAATTTCATTGGCTATTATACTAACTATCTGACTTTAAGCTAATTGCTTAACATTTCAAAAGAAAACATTCTTATTAAAATTTTTTCCATCGTATTACTGCCACAGCATATCGCCAATGAAAGAAGAACAAAGGATAGCTTAATCTTGCAGTAGATTTCGATCTCACGATGATGTTTGTCATAATTGATAAGTAACAAACGGAAATACTAAAGTAATTATTATGTTTGATGACAAAAGAGATTTATTGCTAAACGGTGTCCATGAAGAAGGAAAGAGTTCAAACTTCAATATTCCATTCATTACTTAGAGAATCAACAATCAATAGAACATAGAATTTCATTTATTTCTTTTTTTAGCTGCAATCGATGGTCTTGAGTGTTGTCCTTATTGCCCATACGCAGTTATTGTTGATAATCCAGATGATAAAATATTTCGCTGTTTAAATCCTGAATGCATGAAAGAAACATGCAGGTAAAATAAAAATTGATGCATTTATTTGTTCATTTTTTTTTTTTTGTCATTTATTATTTTTATTTAGATTATGTAAAGAGCCTAGTCATATTCCATTACGATGTGATGAAGTAGAAAAAGGTATAGAACTTGAAATGCGTAAATTTATTGAAGAACATGTAACGGAAGCAATGATACGTAAATGTCCTCGATGTACACAAGTATGAATATAATTGATGTTTTGTTTTTCTCTCAACTATCTTTTTTTTTCGTTTTATTTTTAGCGTTTTTATAAAGTTGAAGGGTGTAACAAAATGACATGTTCATCATGTGGTCTATTTATATGTTATGTTTGTCGTGAAACAATAAATGGTTATGATCATTTTACAAATAATGAAAAGTATTGTTTATATAAAAAAAAAAACAAACAAATAAATTCAAAAAAAAAATTTTCATTGTTTTTGATTTGTTTTTATAGATGTACATTATCAAATCAAAGTGAAAAAATTCATTATGAAGAAATGGTACAAGCATATACAAATGCAAAAAATGAATATCTTCGTCTTCATCCAGAAGCTCATGATATGATCCTTCGTTATGATCCAATATCACATCTAATGAAACCATCTGTTACAACAACAGGTGCCACTTAATTAATAATCAAATATCTATTTTCTTCTATGAGTTCAAATGTTATTATTAATATTTCGTTGTTTAAACAACATTATATTAAAAGTATTCGATTGAGTTTTGTGTTTTTTAGTCGACAACTATAGATTTTTTCTTAATAAAAAACGATTAGTGTAAATGCTTTGTTTTTCATTCATTAGTGAAAATTATATAGTGTCAGAAAATCAAACATCTTTTTTTTTCCTAATATTTTCTTATCTGATCTTGTTATACATGCAAAAAAAAAACAATTTATTCTTGTTTTTTGCTTTCTGTACCTATTGAATACGATCATTTTCATTGAAAAATAAAATTTATATATAAATAAATAGAGACATTCAATGAATTTTGATATTGTTCTATTACACGTGAAAAGAAATTCTTTTTTGCTTTTTCCAATAATGAAAACTGCATGTGAAACATGCGATATTCAATAATTTTAATTGATAATAAATGAAGGAAAACCAAGATTGAAATCGATCAAAGATTAATTTTTTATTTTATTTAATGATTTTATAAAGTCTAAAGAGATATCGAAGGTATTACAAAACATCAATTTAATATAAATGATCGCGAGAGAAGCTTGCAAAGTGATAAATTGCTCTTAAGCTCGAACTGTATTCAATTGATAGGGTCTAGTGAATAAATAAATACTCCAATGATTCCAATTGCTGGAACATTTTTGTTGAGATATTGAATTTTTAGTGGATTATTCTTGAAGGATCCTTGTTGTTAAATAAAATCTCAAATTTAAAAGTATTATTTCGCATGAAAACTGAGACCAAACAGGAAAGATCCACGAAAAATTCGATATCTCAGTAACCAAGGCCCAGTAGCTTGAATCATTCTAAAATATATACTTAATCACTACAACCTACTAATTGAATATAGTTCTAGTTCGAAAGTAATTCATCATTTGGGAGTCTTTTCTTGTAAAAGACGACATGATAATGGTGTTTTTTGGAAAAGTTTCGTTAAACATAAAATTCATTTACATCTGAAACTGATTCATCATCATCATCATTCAGATAAAAATCGTGAATGATACTTGTTATATCAATGATTATACGTATTTTTTGTAGATTAATATCAACATATGCCGAAATGTAACTTATCAATACAGGTAAGTCCATGTAATGGATGGTTATTGGTAGACCAATGAATTCAATCATTGACAACATGTCTTTCAATCAATTACACAACAATAAAATTCGGAGTTAAGAGGAAACATCTAACAGTTTTTTTATTTATCGGTTACACAAAAGTCAGTTGATTGTCCGGTGACTAAAATACTTCATTCTTCATTTTTTTTTCTATAGCCAGATCTCGTTAGGGAAGTAAAATAAATACATCTAGGATCATTTTAACACGTTTGACTGTTGATTTCTATGAGAGTTTTTAACAAGTTCGTTTTAACCGAAAAAAACATTGTCTAGATAGTTGCGTGATAATTAACGGATGTCTCAGAAGATATTGAACTTAATCTCAGTGCATTTTTCTCTTGTTTTCTTATTATAAAAAAATCCCTTCTATACTGAAAGATAGAAATTTTCAAACTCTACAACACTATCGACTTTGTTTGGCAAACAACTTCCTCTTGTCGGTCCAAAATTTAGAAGAAATGTTTGGCAACAACACTTTTATAGTAGAAAAAAACTGAAAGCATTATAAAGTCTTTTTTTTGTGACAAGCCTAGGTCATCATAATTGTCATTATTCAATTTAATCTTTACATAGTTTTGTTCAGAATTAAGTTGTTCATTGGATCGCATACATATAAATCTTTCCTAGAGCAAGTCTAACTTCTAAAAAATATGATTTTTCAAAGTGCATTATAAATTACCGACAGTTGTTAGTTCCAAATCTTCTTCTCGTAAACACTAGTCTCGGAAAGCCTTAAAAAGTTGTAGAGACTTAGAACATAAAATTTTCTATCTATTGGTATTAAGTAATTTACATGTGACATTGAAAGACCAGAATTTTGGTCCACAGAATTTTCGGATCGGGCCGAAATTTCTTGTGGACTTTTGGCACATGATCTCATTGACCCTAAAATAAAAAACCTGATTTTTTAAAATTAGTTGCTAGACATCGTAGTACTGAGCAGGACGCCATAGTGCTCAGCGATATAACGCAATGCTGAGCAGGACGTCATAATCTTCAGCATTATGACGTAGGTGTGGGTGTGAGTGTGGGGGTAGTGTGGGTATGGATGTGGGTGATTTGTGGGGTAGTGTGGGTGTGATTGTTGAAGGAAGAGACATCCACACCTCATACACTCTGCTCAGCACTATACCATACTGCTCAGCACTATGACGTCCTGCTCATAACTACGATGTCTAGCAACTAATTTTAAAAAATTAAGTTTTTTATTTTAGAGTCAATGCGGTCATGGGCAGAAAGTTCACAAGAAGTTTCGACCCGGCTCGAAAATTTCGTGGGCCGAAATTCATGAAATCCGTGACATTAGCTTAGACAAGCAAATGCTTTGCATAAATCACTAAGGATCAGTAGAGAATAGAAATTTGCAATTGAATGATTGAGTATACATGAAGCTTTAAAGTCTAGCGCTGACACGATCAAACTTATGTGAAAAATAAGTAGAGAGTTTGATGCAGTTTGAAATTTTTTACCTTTTAGTATATAAAGAAAACTTTTTATACTCAGAAACTAAATGAAAAAGGCACTAAGATTTAGTACAATTTATTCTGACACATGTGGGGTATAACTACACACGATAAAAGTAAATCTTATATTAATATATCAAATTACGTATACAAGCAGAGGCGGCACAACTTTTTGGTTTTAGAATATGTTCAACTTTTTTTTTGTAAGATTCACATCTGGAAGTTAAAAATGAGAGAATGGGTTCTTGAATACCATTTAGATGAAATACAGTTAGTGCTTTATTTTTCAAACTCAAACGTTGTATCGTAAAATAGAAATAGAGATCAGGAAAAGAAATTGGCAACTCGCGTAAAAGAAAATCTTGATTTGAAGAAATATACGACCTTCAACTGAAAAGTTTCTAATCTGCTTTACTAGAGAAAACAAAAGATTCATAATGAAATAGAAATGTTTCAGAAAAAAATATATAAATATTGCATTGTGAGTTGATTCACTGTTGAAAATGTTTAATCAGCATATAATCTTAGTTGCCGAAGACGAAGAAAAATTTTGGCAAATGCTTGTTTAACAATATTTACTTATACAAGGCTCAATATACTTTCTGAGACATTTTAAAAGTCTGTTGGACTACGAAAATATTTCGAAGGCAGCGACAAATATAACACATTTACTCAAGAACTTTGATATACTACTCAAATCGATCAATCTGATGGAAGGAGAAAAAAATGTTTGAGCCTACAAAGTGTAAATCTATACTCGGTCTGTGTGTATAAAAATCATGTGGTTCAGCCACGTATCTATACACAAGTGTATGGACTTTATAATCATCGATTGAAAAGAACAAAATAAGATTCATTGACTATCAGTTTTTTTCTCTGTTTTTCAAAATAAATAAGTATAAGAAATTCGATGCTGTTTGTCATCAATGATTAGAGATAATGTCATTATCTGGGTATTTCCTTTTGATAGAATTTTTTCTTATTTTTCATGAAAACCTATTAAATGCTTCTTTCGAGCAGTAGTATTGATAATTAAACATAAGCTGAGAGACTTTTTTCACAATATAAAATAAACTTATGTAATTCTCATTACGCGTCCCAAACTGTCAAGATGTACTAATTTAATTCGTTCATTAAGAAAATTTTATATTTTCTTATAATATCTACAATTTCATATGCTTGACACATTCCGATCTCAATTAACACTCTTATTTAAAACAACAAAAAAAAAATTTATTTATTAGATTATATTTTTCATATATTTAAACAGATGTAGTAGAACATTTTATAGATTTTTGTTTAACATCAAAAGTAACGCAAATGGGTCGGTGAATTACATTCAATGGTAATGGGTTATTTATTCTTTGTTCAATTGTTAATCGTCTAACATCAGTTGGCCTACTATTTGATGATGTTGTTTGTCCACTACTTGATGAACGTTTTCGATCGAGACAACATGAAACTAACGGTGTTTGTAAACAGATATCAGCAATACCAAAATCCATTGCTTTATAATATACTGTTCGACATATAGATTTAGCTGAATTTCGAAATTTCTTTCCAATAAGACAATAAAATATAAATGATAATGCATGATAGGAATTTTGCAATAAACGTAAATATTCATTTAACATAACGAAATTCTTTATTGATGATGAATTCGTAAAACTACATTTATATACGGATTGAATAATAAGACAAATATTTAATGGTCCAGTCATAATAAAAAATAAAATATTTATTGTTATTAATATAGTTGAGAAATGATCTGATGATGAATTAAAACCTCTTTGTACATGACGTATTCCACCTAAGATTGCAGCTGAACGACGTCTTTGAAATACTTTAATTATAATAATAAGACTACATATTAATGTTAGTATAAATGGTATAATTGCATAGACAAATGTATCTACTATGTTCCAAAGAATACAAATATTTTTTTTGTTAATTTTTATAGGTTGAGTTCGAATCATAGATGTATGATATTTTAGAGAAATATTGTTTGAAAATTTAGCCATATTAATTGGATATTTTAATGCACGTTGAAATTGGTTTGTATTATTATTTAACATTTGATTACAAACATGAGTTGTTTTCAAAAAACCATAATTAAAAAGGATTTGAGCATCGAAAATGAATAGAGGTATTACAATACAAATTAAAAAAATACTCCAAGTTTGTATCTATATTAAAAAAGATCAGAGTTACTTCTATGCTTTTAGGTAATGGACTTTATTGTAAACCTTCGATAACGAAAACTACGATACACGCAATGACATGTGTACGGGTCATCTATTTTTATAGAATGCTTTTTAATAAAATAGAAGTTTTTCTATTTTTTGTGTAGGAGCAACTAATTTAGAACGCTATTCAAGATAGGGCTTCTACGCATCAAGGTCATATACGAGAAAGGAAATGAAAGAAACTCGAAAACATTCATTATCACATGCGATGACTATATTAAAAGAATGTCATTATACTAAAAATATTTCATGTGATCAGAGTATGTAGGCGGAGGATTTGTCCTACGCTTTGATAGTCTCCCTGGAAATTTTCTTTAATAAGCAGTTGGCGGTGTTTCTATTTTTTTGATGAATCAAATGAACTCTATGACAGATAAAGTATTTTCATGACTTTCTAGAAAGAATTATCTATTATTTTTGACACAAAAAAATTCTCTTGATATTACAACGACAAGAAACTCTTGTCTTATCAAAAGACATGATCTACTTTATAGTTCGAAGAAAATAAGTCGGATTCAAAGAGCATTAAAAATTCATGCTTCAAATATATTTTCATGCAAGAAAAACTGAACCAAAAAAAAAGTCGTTACTACTTTATGATTTGTGGAAGACTTTTTCTCTTAACTCTTCCATTTGCTAAGTAGAATTAAATGAATGTTATATTTATAGAGATTATTTTAATGAAAAATGATAGGTTAAATTTCTTTTTTACTTGACACTTCAATTATCATCATCAAACATACCCATGATTTCGTTCGATGTGATTTTAAACTAAGTAATGCATGAAGACGTTGAATACTTGTTGAAACAAGTTGCCATGAACAAAGATGACCAATAAAAGTTACAGTAAATCTATGTAAACGACATAATTCTGTTGAAGTATCTCTTAAATCTTGTTGATAAATATTCACATGACGAATTAATATTGATATTAAATATAATATATTCAAAAAACAAAATATACTTAAATTTTTAAAAACATTGAAACGACTAAGTTTGGAACAAAGTAAAATAATTATTGATATTCCATTACCAATAAAACCAATAATACAAAGTAATAATGTTAAATAAATGTAAACATTTGAAGCAGAAGATTTTGGAAATATATGTGATGAATTAAAACATTCAATGGCTTTTCGAATTGTATGATAAACACAAAAATATGATGAATTAGAAAACGATGTTTCATGACGTAATAGATAAGAGCATTTTATTGGTTCAGATGAATTTAATTCACACCAACATGTTTCAAAGTAATTAGCTCGACATAATGTTAAATTGTCTTGTGACATAATAACTTTCTAAAAAAAAATAAATAGACATATTGAAAATTTAGGTTAGTTATAAATCCGCAAAAATTTTGAACTTTTCATTTGACAATATATTTGAGTACTCAAGATTTCCCGAGAGATTACAAGATGGTATTTTTCAAAACCATAAGTAATGTCGCATGTCCGATCTCTATCGTTAATAATAAACAAAATATTTTGTGATCAAAAAATTTCTTCCTATTGATCAAAGTACATATTAATCTAAATATCGATATATTTCGACTTGACTTATTAAGTTAGTCTTTGCGCTAATACTATGACTGACAAAATAATCTATATCGAAGTCTAAGTGAAATATATAGTGATCTATTCAAAGAGTAGCTAATAGAAATATAAATATATTTGTCACATTAATCAATTATTATGACTCATTGATTAGAAAAATATGAAAACTAGCAAATCTAATTAAATATTAAGCCATCTATCATGTTCATTATGATTTTGAAACTTCGGTTGAATAGAAAAATTGAATTGTATTAGGATTTTCTACTTAATCGCCATTCTGTGCGTCATTACAACTATCATAGCCATTACGATTAGAATTTATCATGTAGAACAATACAAGATGTGTAACAAAATCGATAGAATTACTTTAATTTTTACAGCAAAATAGTCAATTTCTCTCATAGGTGTTTATTCTCAAGTAAAAAAAATCACTTAATAATTTCGTAATCTGTATTAGATATATAGAAAAAACAAAATAACATGGAAAATTTCTATTTTCAATTCATATTGAAGATCATGATACACAAAAAAAAATTAATTATTTAGTTACTCACTTCATTTATGATGTTAGAATGAAATTTTGTTGTCATAAATGTCATTGATATGAAATAATGATTCGATGAAAGTTGAGTCTGGACGTATATATAAACCGTTGCTCTCTCTTTTTTTTTCTTTTTTCTGTCTTTCCGATTCTTTTCGACATTGTGATTAATGGAAAATCTCTCCGGAAAATATGTGTCGAGCGGTTAGAAAAAAAAAGATCAATAGTAAGAGAACTGATAAGACCTCTGGGTATGATCACATTCATATTTTTTTGGTTTATCTTTTTTTTTCAATTAAAAAGATGTCAAAGATTATTTCAATTGTTTAGTTATAAGCATCTATAAAAACAATATTTTTTGTCAGTTTCAATCGTTTAGTCATGTACAAACAAGAAAACATTTCGATTCTTATTTAACCGATTCTCGAAACTTTCGATATAAATATATTCTTCATCAGATCAATTGAATAAATCTTTTCCATAAGAATATCACTTAAATGAATGTTCATGTGCTAGAAATCGAAATTGATTAAATTCTGTATGTGAATGTAAATCCATTTGAAAACATACTTCAATACATTTTCTTAACGTTTTTTTAAATTGATTAAAGTTTATTAAAGTGATAGTAGATTCATAAAATGGACGAGTTATACTACTGAATCTATATGGATAATAATAATAATAAATATCATAATCAAGTGCTAAAGGAAGGAATTGATCAGCTAATAAACATTTGAAAATAACACTTATAATAGAAAAGTTCGAATTTCGTCAACATCTAAGATGAGAAGACGAGGTTTATTACAAGAAAAAAAAGCAGTACAATTAATTATGATTATTAATGATAGGGCATTAAAAGTAAATGAAACTAAAATATTCGAGTTTATTAGTTGGGTTTGTAATCAACATTTTTCTAACGGTGTTTGAAAGTGAAAAGCATTCACAACTAATAAGTTCTTTCAAAGTATTAGATTCTTTCCAGACAGCAATCAAAATTAGTGAAACTCCATATTTTACATCCGATGACATTCAAACAAGTTCTGTCTAAAAGCGCATCACATAAAACAGAATATTAGACATTATGAGAAAAACTTCATTGAGTGTTGAAGAGAGAAAATCAGATTTTTAATAAAACTATTTCCTATGCAACCTACAGTTTTGTAATTCAAATACTTTGAAACTATTAGAAAACCTATGTCTCGTTGTTTAAACTGAAACATCATATGCCTAAAAAATTTGAAAGCCAGCTTTTGCTCAGTATCTTAAATCAAATAGTTTTACACCTGATTTGTAGAGGGCACTTTTCTCTTTCTAACGAGAAAATTATCAAGTCTCTACGACGAATTGTTAACACATTATATTGAAAGGATGATTAATGGAGAACTTTTGCATCCTTTCTGGTGGATAAATATCTACAGAAAATAGTTAATCAAGTTTTCGCTCAAATAAGTATTTCAGCTAGTAGACATGCTAAATTACGCATAATCGATTTGTTGAAAGTCTTTTTGATTGAAAAACTCATCATCTCAGTTACAACACTCAATACAGTAATTAGCAACTATTTCGATCAATAAAATTTTGTTGAATATGATTGACTCAAGAAATATAGCAAATACATGAAGTGACAGTAGGTGACATATTCTGAATAGGTGAAACATACATCGGTTGAGATCCTTCGAACTAGAAGAACTTCAATTGTGAACGATCTCCATCAGGTACCATATAGTGTAGTAATTTAACCTAAAAGCAACTAGTCAAATACTTTTTAAAAAGAAAAGAACTGGCAACTATGAGAAGAAGTGCTCGAGAAATCAAAAATAAATAATATCGATGAAAAAAAAATCACCGTTTTGGTATTCAATAATAGTAAACTCTTTGAAACTAGCAGATTGTTGCACATGCTTAGTGTTAAATAAATACTAAGCTTGATATCTATAGCTTTTAATATGAATGACAACTGATAACAACATTATCATGAGCTACTTTTTCGCGATTTTCTCCTATCATCTTGGTTAATATTTTTAAATTAGTAGAACGTTTTGAAATAAAAAGAAACCCATATCAAATTATTAATATTTGTGTATTTGATAACCATGCTGGTCGTTTACTAATTTTAATCTTGTTAGTATTTTATCGATCATTCGTTGACATAAAAGCATACTTAATTTGTTTCATTCTTTTTTAATACCATTTTTCAATCGTACAATATTACTGTATTTCCACTCTCGTAATTTCGTCTTTAATGTATTTCATAAATTGTATACACGCCAAACTCTGACTAACTTTGTAACATAATTTATTAATTTAATTCGATTGATAAAAACATGTTTGTTGTCATTCATAGTTACGCGCATTCTTTGTTTAGATCCTTGATAATCTTGAGTGACATTACAAAGGAATGGATCAAATTTAGTGTTTATTTACGTCAATCAATGATCGATAAAATGTTAATACAGTTGAAATTAGTAATCGATGCGCATGGTAATCCAATGTACAAACATTGAGAACTGGATGTGGGTTTCTTTTTATTTCAAAAAAGTTTACTTTTTAAAAATATTAAACAAAATGATAGACACAATCAGGCAAAAGAGTCAATGACAATGTTGGTACCAATCCTCATCCATAGTATAAACTATATACAGGTCAAGCTTAGTAGTTATATAGTACTAGACGTGTACAGTAATTTGCTAAAGTTTCAAAAAATTTTCTTTTGTTGAATGCGAGAACGATGAACTTTAAAATCAGTTCAGCCTTTTTGGAATGTACGTTATATTCTCCATGACAGTAAAAGCTCATTTTTGTTTGCATGAAGGAAACAAAACTAAAGATAGTTACAATAGTAACATGATATGCTTGAATGACAAGACTAAATATTCAGTGAATATATTTTGTTCGGAATGCGTTATAAGAAATTCAAATCACTAAAAAAGAATTCATACGAAATGACTTGTAGCCAATCACTACCGGGAGTCAGTACAACTTGAAATATATTTAGATATACCTATAGAAAAAGTTCAAATCGACTAAATACCTAAATGTATACAGTTTATCTCATGAATATAATATCTATAATAACAAAACGACAAATATGACTAGGTGATTGTTAGTTGTGTCTATCCTTATATGTTATTCGAATTTAATAGAAAATTTAGTTAATTAATAATAAAGCGAAGTAAAACATCATAATCACAATAAAAAATATTTTTGCATGAATAGTCTAATATAATCAATTTTTCATATTGAAAGTCCAAACGACGAAGTTATACAACAAATTAAAAAAAAAGAAATGCATGATATTATGATTCATTTATCAGTTCTTTGCAAAGCTTGAAGATAGAGCCACATGGAGAAGAATAAATAAACTTATTTCAAATGTACTTATTATTATATATAGTTGTTTAATTATTAATATAGATGAAGTCAATAGCAAGCAAAAAAACGTTCATTTACTTCTTTCGTACATTGATTGGATTTATATTTTTGCTTCCGTCCAAATAAGCTCATGTTAATGTAAACTGTCCAAATACTTTCATAAACACAGAAATTTGAAATATATACGATTGTTTACGAACATATGTAGACCTTACGTTTATCCTTTTGGAAGAATACAGTATCAATGAATATCAATTCGAAAACTAATCGGATGTGTATACAACAAAAGACGACAGATAAAATTAGATGTATTCATCATATGAACTGCCAATCGTAAGAGTAATTTATATGAATAGGTAAAAAATCAATATTGAAAACTAAGTTCAATACAACTTTTGATGATCAATTCGATTTTGTCTATATTAACTTTACATAAATGAATTGCACTATTATTTTACTTTTTTTTGAGAAAGAAAGACGACTGATAAAACAATTATCGATTTGAAACTTGATAAATAGTGTGTTTTACTGTACTATATGGAACGTAAACATGAACAAATTTTCTTGACTAGCATCATTAGTATGGGTGATATATATGAGAATCTATAAAAACCCATGAAAATGTTTGAGTATGGCTTTGTCGCATGTATACAGATATATACGTCGAATAATTGCAGAAATACGAGAGTTTTGAAAAATTATTAAAACTACTTAGAATATTAGGCTGAAGAGCTTTGTTTATATGCCATAATATACAACTGAGACTCAGAGTTCAAGATGTGTTATGTTGTTTGCACAAAATGACCTCCATAAAACACAACCTATATTCAATTCGCAGTAACTTCGATAATACTTAAGATAAGAATTGAACTCATATATAATAGATTTGTTTTTATCTTAATCTTTATGTTTTGCCCACATTACACTCTTGCATGACACATTTTTCGCAGATAATCTTGCATGACTTATTGAAACATATTTTTTTTTCTCTCATGAACCAAATGTTTTTCGATGCAAATATTTTTCATGACAATTAATGACACGGAATTGATGAACAGATTAAAGTTTCATCTGATACTGCTGTGTCATTAGAGAGTTATAGGTTGAACAAAATGAAAAATCTCGCGTGACAGATCCCGTATATTAAACAAATTTTCAAGTTTTATTTCATAATTTTAATAAACAAGACAGCTTTTTCTTCTTTTGAAACAGGTTTATTTCCTATTCATTGGTTTTCATTCTACCGTACATCGATTGTTTTTAAATAGGATTGCTTAATCTTATATTTATTTTTAATCTTGCATGATAGAGAATCGAACAGGAACTGTGCATCTGAGATTGAGGAAAAATTATTAACAGAGTCATGATAAATATGCCAAATAGTCTTATATTTGAAAAGTGTGAATTGTTTTTTTCTCATCTACCAAGTTTCAAAATTTAAATGCGAAAAGAAGAAACCGATTAGACGATATATTTTAGCAGGAGATAGCATCAAAAAACCAACATTTTAGATCTTACCTACTTAGTATCTTACAATTTATTTAAGGTAAATCTCTTTTTTTTTGAATGGTAGAAAAGGTTTACTAGAGAAATGTAATCTGCAAAAAATCATAAAGATTGATTGAAAAAACCTCAAGTTATTGAACTTTCTCATGTTAGAATGTAATGGTCCAATCAAGTTATAATTCATTCATATTTGGAAATAATTAAAACTAGCTATTTGAATTAAACTTTGATTTCAGTTTCTTAGTTTATACTATTTAGTGTTTTCCAAATAGGCCTAACTTATTCTCATCTTTATGTATACTTTAAAATCTATTCAATAATGAAATATTGAAAATTTGTTAAAAAAGAAATTGATAAGCTTGAATTTCAATTATGGCATTTCTTACTTTTAAACTATAGTTATATTTCAGCAAAACTTAAAAACTCAATACAATGAAAGTTCAAACATAGTACATTTGAATAATCGGAACGTATACACGACCTGTAGAGTCTAAGCGAAGTAACGCATGTTCGTCCCTAAATACAGCAATGTCTATCACACACGTTTTTTCGCTATTTTGCAATATAGAATTTTGTTTTTTATAACACGAAAAATATCATTGTTTATTACATTTTAGAATATAATCAAACAATGACAAACACACTACTTGAATATCGAAGTTACTGAGTAGGAGAAAATGAGAAACTGCGAAAGTTCAAAACTCCTAAAATAAAAGTAACAGAACAGAACAGAACAAATCAATCAGAGAATGATTTCAATTTTTGCTCAGTTTTTCCTGTAAATTCTGATATATTCTGTTACAATTGATATTGCTTGACTCATCATCCTGTTGATCACGATGAACTACTAAAAGCCATTTTTGCCGTGTTTTCTCTGCAAATTTAAGAGATATTTCAACCGAACACCTTATGCTTGTTCGATTGTATTTGAACGTACAAGACTATCGTTGTTCCATGGACACTTCAACCCGTTCTTCTTTTTATTATTATTTATATTTCATGTTACTCGTGGTTACTATTTTACATGCAAACCGCTATTTTTTCTGCATGGTTTTTTTTATACAAACTTATTGAAAGTCTACACACGTTTTGTTTTGTTTTAAGAATTGATAATTTAATCATACTTCTTTTCTATCAAAATCATTGCTTTATACGAGTTATTTTTCTATCCTAAATGTGCACTAATACTTTCTCTTTAATATGCTTTTTTGAACTTACTCTATCGAACCATTTGACCCTGGTTCACACATAAAAACAAATACATGTCTTTAACAACTACTCTATAATATCATTTTGTTGTGAAACCTTGATGGAAATTGAAATGTTCAGCTGTACCAAAGACTAATACCAATCTGACCATATACAGAAGCATTAAATCTATGAATGATATGTGAAACCGTCAGTCAACTTTAAAAGTCAGATGTGGCAGATTACAAAATCACAAACTCCTATGTGTATGATATGACATTATTCTTATGATTAATGAGTAAAACTATTCACGTAGATTATATGAACAAACGAATTTTGTCACGTTCAAACTTCTTTGACAAGAGTTCAAGAGTGTTCCGATAAATTGAACTTCGATATTCAGTAACTCCACATCACATTCGTTGTCGGATGAATAATGTTTAAATTAAGGTGATTTGAAAGAAAATCAATTTTCGAAGATAACAAAACAATTAAGAGAGTCAATACAAACCAACAGATGAATTCTGCCAAGGCTTACTGTCGGAACAGGATTCAAAAACCAATATATTGAGTGAAAAACTTATATTTGCTTGATGAACCCTTCTGGAATTATTATCATTTAATAGAGAAGAAAATTCTGCACATAATACAACCAATTAAAGATCCGAAAACAAATTAGAAAACGAATTGTGACAAGAAATTGTCGAATGTGACACTAATTTTACTTACGCTACGTTTTCTCGGGCTCAGGTCTACAATAATGTAGACCAACAACACCCAACTCTTAATAGTATCAATAAAGAAAACCTTTATGATATCTAAATTCTTGTTATTTACTCGTATATGAAAAAAGACTTTTTTCAGTGATATGGAGAGAATAATGAATGAGAATATGTCATAATTATTGGTTGAGTCAAAATGTATGTTCATGTAAAAATAAAATTTAACTTGAAATCATCTAACTCACACAATGTTTGTCTTTTATTATCTTGTAAATCATCAATCAAATATTAAAAAAAGGTAAAAGAAAAACAAATCACAAATAGAATCGCTCTATTCTGAATGTTCGAATTCTTTCTTATGATATTTAAAATGATCTTCTAAAAATGTCATTATAAAATAATAACTATGATCATAACCAGCTTGTTCACGTAATTCAATGGGAAATGAAGCTTTTTTGCAAGCATCAATAAATCTTTCTGGAAATAATTGTTTATCTTTGAAATTATCATCAGAACCTTGATCGATTAAAACCGGTACATGTGGCTTTGGTCCATGATATGAAGCGACAAGTTCAGTTGCATCATATTGTTTCCAAAGATGTTCATCTTGACCGAAAAATTTCGTGTATGCATTAATACCCCATTCACTTTTTGATGCATTACAAATCGGTGCAAAAGCTGAAACAGATTTATATTGACCAGGACGTTTAAAAAAACTAATTAAAGCACCATGTCCACCCATACTATGTCTAAACAAAAGTGATCGTTCATCAATTATTTTGCTCAATATTAATTTCTTCGTTTTTTACCCGAAAATTCCAATTTGCTTTGAATTAACATTAAAATTGCTAACAATTAATTGATAAAATTCTTCATTAACATAAGAAAACATACGGTAATTCTTTGACCATTTATTGTCAGTTGCATCAATATAATATCCAGCACCTTCACCAAAATCCCATTTATCACTATCACCTTCAATTTTACAACCACCTATATTTTCAAATATAAGAATACAATGAAGATATGTATAAAAAACTTTTCATACGAGGACTAGTATCAGGATTTGCTACAATAAAACCATATTCTGAAGCTAACCGTTGAACACCAGATTTTGTAATAAAATTCTGTTCCGTACAAGTTAAACCTATTCAAAAAAAACTAAATTTATTTTCTCTAATTTATGAAAACTCCAACGAACCAGAAAGAAATATTAATAAAGGTACTCGTTCCTTTTCAGCTTTTGCTGGAACATAAACACCGAATTTCATTTTACAACCGACAGTTGAACTAAAACCAAAAGCCAAATTTTAAATAAATAACTGAAACAAAAAATTTTTCTCTATTATATACCTTTCATGACTATAAACATATTGATGACCATCAAAAGCTTTTGAACTTTGTTCACGAGTCAATGCCGATGATGACATTCTCAAAAAAAAACGGATAAAGGTAATTTTTGACCGAGTGTAAAGGTGAATTATTTTTCTTTATTTCATTAACATGCAAAATACAATCATCAATTAAAAAAAAAGAAAAACGAACACAAATAACCTCTCACCTTATAGAGATATTTATAGGGTTTTAAAATACAGAAAAAAAAATGAATTTATGCTCGCAGAATTATTTTTCAGTGATCTCAAACAACAAGTGTGTAGAATAGAATAATAGATAACTCGAAACGATAAACAAAAAGAAGAAACATACAATAACAACAACAGTATATTATATTATGACTAGAGACAAGAGAAAACGAATTAAATAGGTATATTTAAAGTTCCAATGATGAAAATAATCGACGACACATAACAGCAGCCAATGATGGACATTTATCAAAGTCATAGATAAGTTGACGCTGTTTGTCATTTAATTTTTGAAATACACTATTGTATTCACGATCAAATGCGTCTAGTTAAGAGAAAAAAAATATAATAACAGAAAAATTTTATAATTACATTCTAGAAAATCTAATAGAATAAATCTACACTTGTAAATATATCATAGATTTTTAGAATTATTAGAAAAACAATGAAATTTTTCAAAAGAGAAAAATTGAATAAAATCGTAGACCAAAGAATAAATTCACAAGGGTAGGTACTCAACTGTCGGATGACGATTGAACTCATAGTTTATCTATATGTAGTATGGAGCGAGATCAACAGAAGTTAGAAATAAATGCGTGTCCATATCTTATTCTTTTAGAGTTATGATCATTTTTACTGAATTTTTGACTTTACATTAGACAGCTAGTTAACTATCGCAAGTCATAATTTGACCTGAAAATTTGTCCATGAGTAGAACTTATCATTATTACATTACTATGAAAGTTTATTTTTAAAAGCATAATTCCTTCACAAGATATTCAACGATCAAAAAGAGTTAATGTTCTAATCTTTGCTGATGAGACATGATAGTTTGTTGATGGTTGGATATCTCACGAAGAACAAAGAGTACCAAATATCAAACTGATACTAATTGTAAAATCTATGTATCAAATTTGTTATGAATTTAAACTTTTCAAAACTTGTACAAATTTAAAACAATTCTAAGAATTGAAACTACTATGGATGTAACTATCAATTCTTTTGAACCCTATGATTCGAAAGATAGCTAATATATCAGAAATTAGGAATGTACTGTCTTGAAGGTCAGGATCAGGTCAGCAGTAAAGATACGGGTGACCTAGTATGCATATAAGTACATCACTGATTCTTGCTTTTCTATTGCTTTCCATAGGTTATCTTTGGTATAAATCAGCAATTAGAAGATTTGCCACAATGTCTTCGTCAGTTTCAGATTATTTTCGTTTAAGGTTCTTACAAAATCTTTATTTCGGAAATATAGACGTTCTCATAGACTGTATTTTCAACTGTTTTTCTTGAAATATACGTTTGCACCAAACAAGACTAACACATTTGGAGTAGGAAGTCAATCAATAGAACAGTATTAACTATAAGTTTTAATGTATAATTCTTATGTCTTTAGAGAATCGTTTAAGATTTCTACACTAATATTCAGCTTAAATTTAACATAGGACATAAAATTTTGTCTGTTTATTTTCAATTGATTATATAATTATTTGAGAACTGCATAATAGAATTTTTTCTTATAAACTTACCATGCGAAAGTTTTTCACGTCCAAGTGCAACAATTGCTAAAAATAGAATTTCTCTGTACATTGAACGACGACGAATACGTCGACGTATTGATTTTGATGATTCTTTTATAAATAATCGAATTGGATTGTATAGATCATTTTGTTCAATACAAGCAACAATTGATCGTATTACTCTATGAATAAATTTTAAAAAAAAAAGCAAACAAATCAATATTTTATTTTATTTTATTTCTCTCTATTAATAAAAAAAAATCAGTGAAAAAATCAATTTTTTAATCTCGGAAATGTGTGAAAAGAATTATTTACCGATCCATATTATTATCAAATAAATCGCTAATATATGAAGAAAATAAGAGGAAGAAAAAGAAAATTCTTCTATTAATCTTACTTTCCAGTAACGGTACTATGCTCGTCCGTAATTAATGCATTGGCAACTGGTGTATGACATCCATCTAAAAGTAAGAAAAAAAAAACATAGATATATTCTAACAATCGAATCAGAACACAAGCACTCCTTCTGTTTTCCTAGGAGAGGTGACATTTTGGCTACATGTATCGGATCTACGAAAGATGCATTTGAGATTAAAAAAATGAATATTTAAACTCCGAAAGATAACAAAGAAATAAAAAGATAGTAGAAACAGCAAAATTTTTATTTTTTTTCGTCGATAGTTAATTCTACTGATAATTTGTATCGTAGATAATGTAGTATACATAGCGAAGGCTTTATCTATCACTATATATTCATACTAGGAGAAGCGCTAATGTTCTATCGCTGCCGCTAATACATTCTAAATTTCAATAAAATCGTTTTTCTTACCATAACCATCATGTTCCCATGTTTTATACATTGGTTCAGCAATATCACTATGACTTATTGCACTATCCCACATACAACGTATACGTATTGAAGTTTTTTCATCAATAAGTTCTTGTCCCAAAATACATTTATTCTTTTTAAAATCTCGTTTTATTTCATTATCTGATAAATGTAATAATGAACGTAAAAGCATTTGAAATAAATAACTTGATACATGAATACGTCGAAAAAACCAAATCTAAATAAATAATTATTATAATATAGTGAAAAAAAGAAATAAATTTTAATATATGTTACCAAGTTCCAAAATAAAATTGGATGTTTTTCTTTAAAATCCATTTTATATAGATCACTATTATTGTGATCAGGTGTTTCGATTATATTTTCAAGTTCTTTACGAAGAACGAGCGGACTTAAATAGTGTACCGTTATAGTTGGTGACGATGGTTGAAGACGGCTAGAACAAATAAAATAATAATAATAATAATGAATCTCAGATAAATATTTAAACTCTGTTTCATAATAAAGTGCTTAATACTTTGTTTTTTCTCGAGTTATAATAGTTTTCCTGAATTTCTGACCTAGTGCAGAGTATCTAATAAAAAAAAATCTCACATCGCTATTTCGACCTCCGTAAAGAGATCTTATGATACACGGAAATTTTCACTTCGAACGAATATTTTCTTTTCAAAATATCAGATTTTCAGCCTTTTTACATATGTTTAAAAATATTCAAAAAAAAATCCAGTTTTTCTTGTAAACTTATTATTAGAAGAAAAAAAAAAGATTCGTTCGAGATAAAACTTTTGATGCATCATAAGACCGTTTTATGAATAAAATTTAAGATCGAGTTAGTGACTTAATATTTTCGATGATATACCGTACAACTAATTCAGAAACTCAGTAAATTTTTCATAAATTACGAAGAAAGCTAGAAGGAAACGAATCATTACCAATTCTATTTACTTTCCATGGGCTCTATCTTATAACAAAAGTCTCATCGCAAATACTTTTTTATCATTTTGAGAATTGTCCTGCAAGTAAAACAATAATGTTAGTACAATTTCTACGGAACTAAAAGGTGAACATGATGTCATAGGATAAGACCAAGTGCTTTTAACAAATATGTATTCTCTAAAGTAAATGTTTAGTCAACAGACTTGAAAATCTATGAAAATAAAATTTCTATTTATTCATATAATAATTATTTTTCCAAGTTTAGTCTTTGAATATCAAAAAACAAATGTATTAAATAAAAAGGTTTATTTTTAAAATTTCTGAAGATCTGAAGGAAAAAAAAAGATCAATCTTACAATGATTGTTTCATTTTTTCAATCATTGTTTGTTGTGTAATATTATTTGTTGGTGTTGTTACTGTCGAATCATCTTTTCTATAAAAAAAGAAATAACGAAATAATTATATTGAAAGTTTGTTTTTTTTTTCTTTAAAACATACGTTGAAGTCATATTGGTATTCATAGCTGTATTATCCTAAAAGAAATGCATTAGAAAAAAGTCTTTCTATAATTAAATCTAGTTATTTTTCTTACTCTTATATTAATACTTAATTTTGGTATTGTTTTTTCTCCACAATGAACACATATTGTATGTAATTCAGAATCATCAGGAGACCAACCATTCATTATTTCTTCATCATATAAAAATTGATTACATGCTGAACATCGATTACAACTACTAATTTCAATAATTCGATTTGGAATACGAGAATTATCATCATTATTACTTATTAATGGTATTGCAACACTTGATGGATCAATACGTAATGCTTTGATATCATCATGTATATTATTCATATCCATACCATTGATATTATTTGTATTTAATGATGAACTATTTGAACTCTGTTGAGATATAAGTGATGACAAACTACCACGTAGTTTACTATTACTATTATTTCTTGCTAATGTTAATTCTTTATTAATTGTAGGATTTTTAACTGTATAAAGACTTTTCGATTGTGTTAATGGAATGGTTGTAGATTTTACTGATGTTTTAAGATCAGTAAAACGATCTAATGCGTATGATTTAATTGTATTAAGATTTTTTGGATTATATAATGCTGAAAAACCACTTTGAGTAAGTTTAGCACGTAATTGTGTTATTGATGTTGGAATATGTAATAGAGATGTTATTTCTTGTTCTTGTTCTTCTTGTTCTTCGTCTTCTTTTGGAATAGAATTTATAGTTGATTTTATTTCAGTTGAAGAAGATTTTGAATTAGCAAAAGGTTTATCCATTATTGAAGATGTTCGATTCGTAATTACTTGAGGTATAGGAACTTTTGGTGTTGGATTAAGTAAACCAAGTGGATCATTAGATAAAACTTGTGTTCTTGATGTTAATTCCCATTTAATTGGTGTATTTGATTGTGTTTGATTGTCAAGACATGAAATTGAGCGACGTGGTGATTGTGATTGATTATGTGTTTGAGAAGATCTTGGAGCAACTGGTAAACGATATGAAAGCATACCAATATCACCTATTTCAATATCACTTGTTGTCATTAATATGCCAGCATCAGATCGAGCTAAATATAAAAAAAGGCTGTCAATACCATTCCTACGGGATTAATATATAAAATATGATATAGTTGTTGTTGCTAATCACAGAGAGATTGTTTTATTTTTTTTATTGGGAGACATATTTTTTCATCATAATTTTACATAATCTTTGGAAAGTGAAATAAAGAAGAAGATCATAAATTAAATAATTGATAAGTTTTTAGACGCAATGTTTGTTTAATTTTCACCAATGAGTTAGGACCAGTATTATATGTGCTTGAAAATTTTGTATCAGTTTTTGTTCGAGAATAGTGAAATAATTTTTTAAAGCCCAAAGAATTAGTTGCAAAGGAAATCTTTTTGTATTATGACTTGTACGATTCGAAACTAAAATTTACGCTTTTTTATTTATGTATCAGTCTATAGATGAAAAGCCAGCCTTCAAAATGTACTATTTGAAGTGGTTTTCCTATCTATTGACAAGGCATTTCAATTTTCGTTTTTTCTAAATATTCATTTTTTTAAAAATGATCAACAACCATTGTGCATTCAAAGGAAGTTCTGAAAAAATGCTTATAGTTTTACGAGCGAACTATGCCAAATGATACCTTGCGTAGTATCCTCTTTAGGTAAAAGCTACAACCTACAATCTGTAGAGAAGAATCTATTCGACAACATAACCTACGTCGACAATTTTGCGTATGTTCGAAATTACTCTTGAATAAAAATGCACACGATGTTTCTAAATCAATATTCAAATTCTGCTTACGACCTATCATCTTTGATTTGTCTGTAAGACATTCCAGCATATCAAAATCAACGAAGGTATTCACTGGAAACGTGGACTCTCAAGCCTCGTTCAAACTAATTTTGTCGGGCTTTTCAAAGATTATTTCACTACTCTCGAACTTTAAACTGAGGCCAAATTTCTAAGCGTATAAAATTCTGATCCTAATCTATCACAAATACTTTCTAGCCAGTAAAAAAATGAACAAACATCTTGTCTAAAAACTTTTTGATCACTCGTTTTGAATAAAGTGTTTCTGACGGTGGCTAGAAATTTCTACCTTTATACTTCAACGCTCGTTTTAAATGGTTCACAAAAAAATAATACGAATTTCAAAAAGAAAAATAAATAAACCTGTTTGATGAGCAATTGATTGAAGTGTACTAAAATCAAGTTTAGATGGCATATCAAGTATATTTGATAGTAAATTTTTTTCTGGTATTTCTTGAATATTAATATTGTTATTATTATTTGTATTTGTTGTACGAATTATCTTAGTATCTATATATCCATCCACTAAAGAAAATGAAAAGAAATACAATACAATTTAGTAAATGAAAATGATCTTTGTTATTTTTTTGTACTTGTTGGTAGTTTTTTAAAAGCCATTTTTGGAAAAAATGGACTCTCTGTTATATCTTTTATTGTTCCAGCTAATGTTGAAAGTACAGTTGATAATGTATCATCTTGATTAGGATTATTTCCACGATTATCTATAAAAATATTTGTTTTTTTGTTTCAAAAGAAAACTAAAGTTAAAACAAACCTTTGAGATTATCGGTTGAACCAAGTGTTCTAGTAGGATGTGTAGAAGTTGTTGGAATACAACTTGTATGTGAATATCCAACATTAGAATCGGTACTCATTGCACCATCACTATCATCATCGTCCAATGATGATGTTGATGGACGACGATTACGTTGATTATGTCGATAACGATGAGCAGTTTTGAATGCCCATACAGCTCGAAATACGGAACGTAATGTTGCCCAACGATCACGTCGTGCCCATGTACCTTCATAAACAGCCTAAATAAGAAAAAAAATTATTGAATAATTGTTGTTTTAATTAGATAAATTTTTTTTTTATGTTACTTTATTATAAGCACCATATGTAACAGCATTCCATTCTACACCAGTTTTTTTCATAAATGAATAAGTTTTAACAGCTAATATAGGATAATCATAAAGACCACATAATTGAATAATAACACGAAAACAAATCTAAAAATTAAAAAAAAAAAGATTTTATTGAATTGTTTCACGTGTTTCTTCTCTTGTTTTACTTCATCTGGATTTGTTAAATGTTGTCGATTCATTTGTACAAGAATTTTATATGCATAATTTAAAATATCTCGTGAACTTGTATAACATTCAATCATAGTAGGTAAATGCATAAACCATAGAGAATAAACATTGGATAATAAACAATAAGCCCATTGTGTAGGTTTAGTTTTATTTTCACGAGCGACCTTTTTAAAAATAGAAAAATGTATCTTTACAGTAAATTATTCATTTGAAAAAAAGATTTGATCCTTATCAAATATTTCTATACGACTTAGATGAATGATGCATACAGTAAGAATCTGCATGATAGCTCCAATCACGATAAATTTGAGACTTAAATTTATTCTTTTTTTTTATGGGAGTCGAAATCTATGTTTTTTCAAATTGATCCCAATAAATTTTTGTCCACTAAGAATTACATTGTACATTTTCATGTTTATTATTCTATTCTGATGAAGGACCTGAAAATCGGCTATTTTTATTTAACATTCCAATAAAAATCTTTTCTAATTTTGTTTCGAAAAATTGAATTTTTTCAATAACTTCTATCGGCTTTTGAATATATAAAACACAATCTACATCAATTTGATTCTATAGCAATTTATTTATTGTTTTATTTTCATATTTTTGATGCAATATTATCTAAAAGAAGTATTGAAAATAGACCCCATCGAATTCAAAAATTCTTAGATCTGATAAACTCTAATGTTGAAATGTATAGAGTAGAAATTTTCAGTCACTTTCTCTCGAAGATTGTGACTTACCTTTTGACATTTATCTCTCTCAAATTTTGATCGTTTCACCATAGGACTATTTGGTACAAGTTTCATTGATGATATTTGTGCTTGTTCTTGTGGTAATTTTAAATTTGTTATATCAGTTTTTTGTTGACCATGTATTTTATTTCCATTGTTATTAGATTTATTTTGTTTATTAATTGAATCATTATGTCCATTAGTTCCTGAATGACTTGAATCAATAAAATCTGGTAAAATTAATGTTGTTTTTTCACTTAAAAAATTCGTTGTTATATCATGTATATCAAGTAAATATAATGTTTGTTGTTCATTATTTTCAATACTTGTTTTAACTTTAGTACAACATTCATCAAAAAATGCTAAACTGTAATTATGATGAACATTATCATTAATTAATGTTGATTGATTTAATGTACTTGATGATAAAAATGAACGTTCTTCTATGAAACGACTAAACATTTGTGTACGTAAAACATATGAATAAAATTTAGCATAAGATGAATCTCGTGAATGTAAAAAACTATCAAATTCAAATAAAACAGATGCATCAGTTGATAATTGATTTGGTCGACGTAATATTGGACGTAAAAATTGTTTATAACCATAAAAACATGTACACATAAAACGAAGAAATACATCACGTATTCGTGTTTCCATATTACGTTCAAGTTGAATCATTTGTATACGTAATTCAAAATCATTACGATTACGTTTTAAACGTGTGCGAAGATCATATAAACGTTTTTGATATGTATCAAGTACTTGACATTCAATTTCATCTAATGATTGTTTTAATTGTTTAAACTAAAAAATGAAGAAAATAAAACCCAATTCGATTGATTTAATAGAACATAACAAAGAAAATAAAAATTTACTGGTTTTTTTGGAAACATTTTTACAGACCAATGTTTTTGTTCTTCAGTTCTAAATTAAAAACAAAAAAAGAAATTTTTCTGACATATTGTTCATGATTGGTAATTAACTCTTATCTAGTTTTGTCCTAAAAAAGAGAACATGAAATCGAATCAATTTCAACTATTACATAAAGAAAAATTCTAAACTCAATACTGTCTAATAAATTGATAATTTTCTTTCGTTTTTGAAATCTCTCGCATAGTAATTTACAAGTGAGCTTTTCCAAGTGTCAAGTCACTTTTCGATCGGGACGATGTTCATTTGATGAGCGATAAAAAAAAGTCTAGAATAGTCTGGCACTCTGAGCCTTCGTTCTTCAAATATCGTTTTTAACCAAAAGCTTTAGTTTCCTTAGGTCATGTGAGCTTTTCAACTTTAAACTATGTACGAACAAAGTTCGTGATGAGGCAAGTTTATTGGAGAAGTTGTAAGTTTTCTAAAAATCTCCTACCCTAATATATTCAACATTCGAAATTCTATCATATAGAAAAGCTAAAAACCTGTACAATTAACTAATCCCATTGAAAACTTTGTTCGTACAAAGTTTAAAGTCGAAACTCATGTGACCTAAGGGAATCAAAGCTTTTAGTTGGGAAACTCATTCAAATCTTGATATCTCAAGAACGAAGGCCTACACGATCAAATCACTCTAGATTTTTCTATAACACTCTAGTACTCATCAAATGCATATCGTCTCGATTGCAAAGCAAGTTGACATCGAGAAAGGTTTCCTCATTAGTTTTACTTCGTTCTCACCCAGGTCGACAAATACGGACCGGTTCCGGCAGGAAAACACCGGAAATCGCTGAAATATGGAAGCAGTGTTCCAGCCGAAAATTTTTCGGTGGATTCCGATCAACTTCCTGTGCTTTCCAACAGGAACAGGCCGGAAATCATCGGAAAAGAATCCTGAAAATTTCCGGTCGGAATATTGCTTCGATGTTCCGGTGATTTCCTGCAGGATATGGTGACCTTTCCTGTCGATTATTGCAGTATCCGTTCTCCGGAATCATTGACCTGGACATTTAAAAAATTAATGTCTTCTTCAGAACCCTACAATTGCTTCGAAGTATGATCAAAAGAATTTCTCATGTTTCTTTTATTTTTCTGCAAATCAACAACATAATATTAGAAGTAAGATCCCGCAATATCTCTTATGTTTTTTATAAGATTGATTAGTGATTTTATACAGCGTGGGAATGGTGATCTTTCCGAGACTATGGTTAATTATACTGTGTATTATGTTTTTGTGCTTTCAAAAAAAGTGTTCGTCTCTCTCGGACAAGCAAATTCAAATAACACATACACATTGACATTGATCAAATCACACTGTTTCATATATTTTATAATCTTACCCTCCAATAATAATATTTGTATCTAGATCAACACATATAACATCAGGAGGTGGTTCACAAACATCAAAATAACGTGAATCGATTCCTATAAAAAAAACTAGTTGAATCATCAATAAATATATTTATATCGTCTTACCAATAATAAATGGAATTGGTGCACTCAATACATCACTCAATGCTACAGGACATAATGGTATATATGGGCATTGCCATTGGAATGGAAAGACCATCTGAAAACAAATTATTGTTTATTTTCAAAAAAAATAAATAGTAAGTGCCAGATCTTTTCTTACGCTATTCACTGCTTCAACAACGCCTGTCAATACTGATGATCTTAATGAATGTATAAGCAATTTCGATTCCAATAAAGCAAATAAAAATAAAGTTAATGTATTATCTGTTCCTAAATTTTTTAAAAGATCAACAAATGATGCACCATTCTGTGGTAAACCATTATCTTCGGGTAGAACAATTAATAATGGTTCATCATATTGGACAAATATTCTTGGCTTTGATGGTGATGGAAATGGTACATCATTAAAAAAATGTTTTAAATACTGTTCAATTAATGGTATACGATCAATTAATTGATTATCACTCGATGTTGTCCTACCCGATGAAACAATTAATTGATATATTATAAATAAAAATCGTCTCAGAGTATCGAAAAATGGATGACGTGAAAAAATAACAACACATGTCGATGCATATAAATGATCATTGTCAATTTCTAAACGATTAATTAAATCATTATTTGTTAATAATAAACGATCATATGCCTTAAATAATTCATAAAATGATATACAAGCACCATATTGTTTTGTATTTGATAATAGAAATGTTGAAAATGTTGGTGCAACACTTTGTAATGTCACTTTTGATGGCCATCGTTCAATAAATGCACCCATTGGAAAACAGAAAAGAGGAGTTTTATCAGGAAAAGTATAATATGGATCATCATCTGTTGGTGGAAAGGTATAAAGAATATGTGGACGATATTGAATACGTATGGGATAAATAACAGATTTTTTATAACAAAGATAGACATTTGAACCAAGCATTGAGCGATTTAAATTTTTATTTATTTTATTAAATGAATGTGGAGGAGTTTCACCCTAAAAAGAAAAATAATGTTTAACAAGAAATATATGATGAAAATTTTATTGATTAAAGATTAGAAAAGTTTTTTTATAAATAAGATTTGGTCTTATTTCGAATAATATTTCATAGAAAAATGTGTTCTCATCATTCTATAAAAAATAGAAGAGAAGACATACTGAATCTTATGTTACAAATTTTTTCAAGAACAAATTCTTGTATCCAATTGAGAAAAATAGAATTTTTGATTTATAGGAATCTCTCAAGACTGCAATTGAAAGCTTTGATATATCAGGAAGATATGAACAATTAATAAACTTCAACTTGTTGAACAACATTAGGAAACCTTAATTTTAAACTTCTGTTAACTAAAATATCTCTCTTGATATTTAAATAGAAATTTTTTCATACCTTGCTTTCATTAATAACACAAATATCTGTAACAGCTAAAGTATTGCATAAAATCATTGATGCTGCTCGTCGATATGTAATTAATGTTCGTTCTTTACTAAATGATGAGCTGAATATACTAGCTGGATATCCATGAGGTGTTGTTTCAATAATTGAAACATTTTCCATAACTTTTTCTCGTCCTTCAAGTAAAACTCCAATATCTGTTATTGGTGGTTTATCACGTCCACGTCTAATACATAAATACATTTCATGATTACGAAATCCACTATGATTAAGATTAGCTGGAAAATGATTTGGAGTTGTCCATATTGTTTCATAACCAGCTGGTGGATCTTCTTCATGTGTACGATCAATAATAGCTATATCAACAATTGGTTGTTGATGTTGTGGTGTTAAATCATACGTTTTAGATGATAATTGTATAGATGTATCTGTTGTTGATGATGATGATGATGATGTTGGAATTAATCCATCCCGTTCAATAGGACCTGTACTTCCAACACCAATAAGGGCAAAATGATCAACTAATCGTTTATCATCCATTCATTTTTATTCTAAAATAATCAATGTTTTGTTTTTCATTCTTACTTTTCATTCAATATCATCGATCGAAAGAAACCTATATGTGTAAATTAATCTTGAAATGATATAAAGAAGAAAAAAAAAAGGAGAAAACGAAAAAGATAAAAAGGAACAATAGATCAGGTAACATCACACGTTTTAATAGTGTGCTTTACGGCACAAAAAAGAAGTTTATGTTTGTATTTTCTTTTTCTTTTTCTTTCAAAGGATAAGCCATGAAAATAGTCACGTGAACAACAAAAGATAAAATGAAAAAAAAACAGAAGAACATGTTCACATAAAAGCTTTTTTTTTGATGATAACCATTGCACTGTTCTAGATTGTACAAACATTTTGTATTTTATTTTTCTTAAACAATAAGAAAAACAAAAATATATTTTTTAATTTAAAAATAAAAGTAATTTTCTACCTGTTTAAATCCATCAGATTTATATATATATATATACAAAAAGGAAAATATGTATTGTTACAATATCAAACAGCGTCATCGTGATACCACCAACGAGTTTTTTTTGGATCATTCGATGCTGTACGAACATACCAATCATTATCAGGTGGACGACTCTAAAATATAATCAATCATATTTGACATAAAATAATTGTTAAGTAATTCGATTGAGTATGATAAAAAGAAAGAAAGAAAAAATAATCAATCAAACATTATTTACTTATGTTTCAGGATGTTTTACATATAAAAAAAATCTCTTCATTTTTTTCTTTTCTTTGATTCAATTGTTTATAGAATGTTAATATTTATTTTGTTTCTTCTTAAATCAATATAGATTAAAAATAAGATAATCAAGGAAATTAATTAATCAAAGTTGAATTATTACATTATTTTATACAATATCTATAGATCATTTTTAAAAGATGAACATATACTTATTAGGAATTAATGAAAAGATTTTTTTATGAATGATTTATAATATATTCAAAATGATACTGTAATTATAAACTTTTCATCATTGAATAATATTTTTTGATTCAATATTATATTAATCTTACCATGACTACCTTTATGAGTACCACTTCTTATGTACCTAGAATTTGTGCGGATTCCAATTAACAAAATAAATATAATACACGAAGTTGTTCTTAGTTTACTATAGATATGTGAAGACTTTATTTCAAGCAGAATAAATAGAACAACAGCTAGTTTAAATAATATTTATTTAGTCTTTTTTTCATGTTTTAATTATACTCTATTTTCAAGATGTTTGAAATCATGCATTACTATTGAGTATTTATATGTACTTTGAACTGTTCTATACAAGAAGAACAAATGCGTGTAATTGACTGATGTTATCAATCAACTGTACTAACAAGAGAATATTTTCAGCTGTTCTCTTCTGATTTCAATGATTATACTACATAGTACTATGATGAAATCATTTGAAGGATTCAAATTTCTATTGATATTTGACTAAGCTATCGAGCTTTGTCTACAGACTTCAGATTTTTCGGAAAACTCGTATTTGCGAATTTTGATTTCAAACATCATGCCTATAAAGGACTCAATTACACTAGCTTCTATAAAAGAAAAACAATCAAAGTCTCTTCGAGATATGAGATTTTCACGATATGGACTTTTCTCCTTGGATATTATGTATACAACATGCATTTTTTGATAGCTTTTAAAAATTTCTAATTTTTCTGATGGAAACTAGTCGATATGAGTTCTCTATATGCATCAAGTTTTATGTACTATAATTATTAACATCGGAAGGGAGCTGCTGAAGAGGTTCTTGCGTAAGTGTTTGCAGTGTATATCTAACAGACCATGATTCGATTAATATTACGTATGCATAATATGACAATCAATGTTATTGGGGCCTCGTACCAATCTAGTTAGCTACCGAGAGTTTAACAGTACTTCGAAATGGTCTACACTGATAAATAATAGTTGGATAAAACTGACAGATCTTAGCAATATATTCGACTAGACTTAATAATAGCATATTTGAAAGATTAGTGATTTCATCTAATATTGTATACTTATAATAGTATGATGAAACTGGTTGGAATAGATCTGGACTTTAGGTGCTCATGTCAAGGTTATCAATATATCAGAGAAATGAGTCATTTCGTTTATCTTATAAGTCATTGATACTACTAACTATGATAATTGTTACATGATATTCCTTCAAATAAAAATTCAAAGTATTTCATCATTCTATCGATAGAAAATAATTTTTCGAAAGTATCAAATTACATTCTACCATATGATAGTTTATATAAATATAAGCAATCAATAGACAAATAGATGCAATTAAATATAGATTTTCAAAGAAACATCAAATTATACCTTATCTTTGCAACTTGACAGCATAGATAAAATACTAAGACAAACAGCATTAATACTTAATGCTGGTGACCAATCATCTGTTAAAATTGATAGACATATATGACCGTTTGAATAAATATGTGGATGAAGAGGAATGTTAGAACCAATGAAAGTAACCTAAATACACAAAATAAAAATCTAAATATATATATATATATACATCTCATTACTTGTGGTGAATCAAATGGATATTGATCAGAAAATTTAAATAATAATTGAAATTTTTCACCATCATACAATGTTCCTGGTGCACCTTCAATATCAATTCGAATTCTAAGATAAATATATATATATATATAGATTATTAATTAGTGATGGGCCGAAACTGTACGTTACGAACGTAAGAAAAATTCTTACGACTATAATGTAAGAAAGGCGTAATTTTTTGTTCCTTCCTGTACGAAATTACGGAATGACGTACAATGTTGCTCGTCATTGTGAAACGTTATTCCATAATTTCGTACAGAAAGGAACAAAAAATTACGTCTTTTTTACGTTATAATTTTTCTTTCGTTTCTCTTACGTTCGTAACGTACAGTTTCGGCCCATCACTATTATTAATTAGAAAACAATATATTCTTACTTTCGCATATCAGTAAAATCTTCTACAACTCGACTATAAAACAAAGAAAAAAAATTCTTTCATTCAAAGATAATAACAGCAAACAAAAATACATACATTCCTGGTGTTGGATTTTCTGTTAGTAATTTAATTTCTTTTGTTAGACGTTTTCGAACAAGATCAAACTAAAGTAAAATAAATAAAATACGATCATATCTATTGAGTACATAAAACTATCAATCAATAAATACAAACCGCCATTCAATTGAATTTTGCAACAGAAAAAAATAAATGTCTATTATTCTCTCGATTTGAAAAAAACGTAGATTCTTCTTTCTTATTATAGCAATATCATCTGAAAAAACAAATAAATTGTCCATCAAATATCTTCTTTACAATTGATGCTAATAGACATCAGTTAAAGCCAAATATTGCGTCTCAAAAACAGATCGTTATTTAAAAAAAAAAAGAGAAAAAAAACAAGAATGTCAGCTTAAAAAACAATGGAAAAGAAGAAAAGACTTCAGTTTGTTTTGATTATTATTTGGATACATCAGAAGAAGAAAAACACATTGTGATAAGAGACTCATATATTTTTTTTTGTTTTCTTAAAAACAATTATTAAAAAAAAAAAAAAAAAAAAAAAGAAAAGAAAAGACGTTTGCTATTTTCCATCACAGCACGAACAACATCTATGTACATGAGCATGTTTATTGCGAAAAGGTTTTTGTGATTTAATGTTTAATTGACATTGACTGAAAATGAGGACCCATTTTGTCAACTTCTGACGACGACATTGCATGACCGACTAAACAAAAAAATAATTAATTTAAATGAAAACTGTTGTTTTTTTTCTTTCTTATAGACAAAATAATTTACCTTGTGCGAATTGTTCACTAAGATCACCAAGAGCATTTCGTCGACCTGTTCTTCGTGCTGCTTGAAACATTTTCAGATCTTCAGCTTCAGAAATTGGTGGTGTTGTTTCAGCTGCATTACTGGTATTTGTAGCTGATGCACTCATTTAATTAGATTTTCTTTTCAGAAAAATACAACAAAATTGAAAACGAAATATTAATCTTTAAAGTACGGTTAATGAATCAGGCTGAAATAAAAATAGATTATACTCATTAATCAGATCATTGTCATTCAAACATTATTCATAATATAGGAAAAAAAAAATAAACAAAACGGGCGGCACAAGGGTTAACGTGTGAGATATATGATGATTGGTTCAAAATCTATCCATTCATATTAAACATATTTTATAGTAGATGTCTCTAATTATCATGATGAATATGTCAAAGATTTAATTGATATTTTTATATATAAGTATATTGAACGACTTTTGATATAAAATTATTTTGTTTTAACAGCAGCGAAAAGATATGTAATTGACACTAAAGAAAGACTAACGAAAATGACAGAATTTACTTTTGCAGAAAAACTGGAAAAGTAAATTCTGTTTAGACTAACTTTATGTTGAATATTACTGATATTGTGCAATTACATTAGCACTATTTTATAGTGACATATACCATACCATTGAATGTTTTTTCGTTCTTCGTATAGTGTACATATAGACTGTTTCAAACTAGCGAACTAATGTATTTTTACTATACGATGATGTCATTTTACATTCATTCTGTTGTTTTCCATACATTACTTCGCTAGTTTGAAACAGTCTATATGTACACTATACGAAGAACGAAAAAACATTCAATGGTATGGTATATGGCACTATTAAATAGTGCTAATGTCATTGCACAATATCAGTAATATTCAACATAAAGTTAGTCTAAACAGAATTTACTTTTTCAGTTTTTCTGCAAAAGTAAATTCTGTCATTTTCGTTAGTCTTTCTTTAGTGTCAATTATATATCTTTTCGCTGCTGTTAAAACAAAATAATTTGATATTTTTATAACTAATCCTAAATAATAATTACTATGTGAGTAATATTAAGTCCGGTTTTGCGTTTCTATAGAAATAAATCTATATTTGAAGATAATAAATCATTTGTAAGAGTGAAATAGTTTACGAGAGAATTGTCACAAGTGATTCAGAGCTTTTGCGTTGGTATTTTTCCTATAAATACGATTCACTGAGTCGAAAAAAAGCCTAAAGCATAAGGGTTAGCAGGTCTTTTCCTCTCAGGTTATGATGATTTTACGAGATTTATCACTCATAAAAAGATATTTACGATAAGCACGAAGCACGCAATTCTGATCTGAAGTGTTCAACAGATATAAATCTCATGGTCTTTACAGTGATCTAAATGTCACAAATAAAATGAATACCTGTCACTCGAGATATTGATTCTTGAAAAAACATCCTCAGGATACCACATGTCAAGAAAGTCGACTTTTCTTAAAAACTCACTGTTTCGAGAAAGAAGCATTCTTTTTGATTGTGACATTTATGATACTATAAAGATGATGAGATCTATATGTAGAAAAAATATTAGATCAAAATTTTCTATTTCGAGTTTTCATTAAATTTCTTATTGCAAATGATAAATCTTATAAAATAATTATAACTTGAGAAGGGAAACCTTTGACTTTCACCATATGAATGTTTTTTAGTTTTACGGCATTCTAAATATAGTAAAAATATAAATGAAAAAGTCGTCATTTATTAGAGGCGGTTTTCTTGTCAGTCTTATACTTATAATAATTTATTATTATCTCAATGCGCTACATTTCATACTTTCCTGTTTGACAGATATATATAGTGATACAGTTAATCAATCCACGTAATAACTAATAACAAAAAGACTCAAACAATATCCTTAGCATGTTCTCTTAGACTGTTTCAAGTATGATAGTAAGTGAATCAGTTCCAGAAATGTTCCATTACATTCCTTGTTATGTAACAATGTTACTATGAATATTGAGTTGCTATTTAAGATGAAACATTCCATAGACCCCTTAATTAAAAGTTTTCATCCGGATGACTGTGATTTGAATATGATTAAACATGACAATATGGTTTGTCACTTTTTAATTTGAAAAGTTCTAATGAAAGTATTGATTATGTTCGTATGAATCATCTTGTGCGTAAGAGAAAAACTAAACGTTTATTGAACTTACTTAAAAGAAAAAATCTATAAGACATTCAATAACATCATATCTTACCACTTTTCCGTCAAATTATATTAGTCAAAAAGACGATCGAAGAAGTGTGGCACATTCAGAAAGATATAGCCTTAGAAAATGGGATAAATAAGCTATTGTCAACGTAGCGGAATGACACTTATTGAATGTTATTTTATCTTGGGAGTAGAAACAAATGTCTTCATAGTAGCATCTATATATTTTATTTATTATGATGATTTTTGATGTCTAAAAGAAAAGTAAAATCAAAGAACAAATAAGCATTAGTTTTCAAACAACAATTAACCATTAGGTTGTCAAGCTATGTCTACAGAAAAATAATAAAAGTGAATTTTTTTGATCAATTTCTACTTGAATACAATTTTTTCTCTCGTTTCTTGTGTTGACATTTTAATTGGTATTATGGTGAGATAGATGAAACACAAATGTCTGTTTCTAGGTTTCATCAAAGATCAAAGGATACCATAAATGCCTATGAAACAATAAAAATTCTTTTTTTTATTTGGTGTTTTAGTTTTTTTACGCCTCTGTTATTTTTTTCTAAAACGAAGGACAATTTTTTCAGAAATATCGAATTATTCATTGTTGTTCGTTTTTTTTTCTTAACTTTATCAATTGATAAAAAGAACAGTTGTATGACTTTTTAAATCAGTAAAAACCAACAATATTCAATTTCTTTTTTGAAAAAGAAAAAAAAACAATAAGTTCACCATAGAATATAAAAACTTCGAACTGTTTTACTGTTATATACTTTGTTACTTACAATATAATGTCGACACAACAATACTTGTCTTATTGTCCAAATGAAATTATTTGCAATGTTTTGAGTGCCTTCCTCTTTTATGGCCTATATTTCTCTCTCTTTTTTCTTTTATTCTCATCAGACTATTTTTTTTTTCTTATATGAAGAACAGACACAACTAAAATATATTAAAAATCAACGCTTGAATATGCCTATAATATAATGTATTTATGCTAAACCTGCCATGCATTATAGGGCATAATATATGCGTGTAGTTACTTTTAAAACAAAAGTAGACATACGAATTACTTTATATCCTACAATACAATTCCATTAAAAACCGATTATATTAATTATCTTAGCTAATGGATGTGAATGACGATAATCAAAGCATTCATCTAATTTACAATGACTCAATATCTGTATTTTTATGAATTTAGTACTCATATGCTTTTTGAGATAAGCAAATTGAGGGACATTTAGTTGGTTTTTGCACGGAATTTACAAACTGAACAAGGGTTTTATCTTTATAATAATCTTAAAACAATAAATATTTGAAGATAAATACAAAGCAGATATTTGAAAGAATTCTTTTCATATCTTTGATTCATTAATTATTTAACAAAGTAGACCGTTAAATATTTTCAGTAAATAAAAAATAATGATAATAAATACTGGCATCTCTGCTATAATTTGCTAACAAAACAAAGTTGCTTTTTTATTCATTAATTTCAACTAATTTTATGTTTTCATATAGAAATGTATGTTATGTGTCCTGATATTCCTATGAATGATTCCATTACGGGAAAAGAATAATATATAATAATTAACCAAATGTTTTAATATAAATGAATCACAAAAAAAATATTTTCTTTTCATCAAAATATTATAATTCTAATGGAACTATATATTTCTATTGCTCTCTAGATGTCGCATGTATATCAAAATAATATAAATAAAAAGAAATTTATTTTCATATTTAAATAAAAATCTTCATCAATTTTTCATTATGAAATGATAATAATATATGAAAAAAAAATTTTTTATTGGATAAATAAAGTATATGTCAACATAAATGGTTGTCACAATTGTTTATTGTTTTCTTTTTGTTTTATACACGTAGAAAATTTACCGTGTCAAATATTGACTGTCTGATTAGATATTTCTTTGTTTATTAAAAAAAGGTTTTTACCGAATGAAACCACGTTATAATCTTCGTATTCAATCAATTAAACCTCAACTTATAACAAGAAATAAAAAAAAATCTCCTTCAATATTAACATCTCGAGTGTTAGTTATCTTTTCTATTTCATCATCACATAAAAGAAATCTTGCATTTTTTTTAATGTTCTAGGACTAAAAAATCTAAATCTCGTCATACGAATTCTGTAATCAATCAGAAAAATCGTCGTCACAGTTTACGTTTAACACCAGTTGTTAAAGAAACAAAAGCTTCATTAACTATTCATCAAACTAGTAATAAAATATATATAAACTTATTGAATATACTAATAATTATCTTTTCGTTTGTCTAGTACCAAAATGGCGTCAAGTAGAGAATGATACTGATGATGAAAATCTATTAATAAATAATGATGATAATTATGATGATCTACTTGCTCGACATCATCGACATATGCTTGAAGAACAAAAAGATCGAAAGTAAAATAAAAAAAAAAAAATAATTATTTTTATAATTTTTTTTTTTCTAAATAAAATATTTCATAGACTTTATGAACGCTATGTTCGTGGTCAACGAAGTCTCCGTCGTTTACAATGTCGTCGTACTCATACAGCACATTTAAATGAAGTAACTAGAAATCGTTTATTACGTGAATTAGAACGTGAGCGTCGTTATGCTATTCAAGATAAAATTTGTGGATATCGTAAGTTGTTTTTAATGATTACACACAAATAAATATCATGATCAACATTCATGATTCTATTCTTTACAAACATGTATGACAAGTTTTATTCGAGTGTCTTAGTTCTGATGAGTTAACTACTATACACAGCTATGTATTTTTCTTCAACGTAGTTGCTTTCATGTCATGATAACATATAATAGGATCTATAGAAAGATCCCGGAAGTTGTTGCACAAATGAGTCAATACCACTTAGCTTTATTTTAATTTCACGAAAAATCATTGACGCATCAAACAAAAATA